TTCCTCCCCCCCCCCCCCCCCCCCCTTATACTCATAATAACAGACGTCTCATCATAAGTGTTGCCCTATCCCACGTCGGTCTCCCGATGCTGATCTAGGCGCAGATGTCGGCCTCCAGGTTGACGGGCTGGGGGCATCCGTAGACCTTGCTCATGCCAGGCGTGCTGTAGCAGCCGGCGTCGTTGGGGCCGCAGTCAAAGACCTGGCAGCCAGGGCCGGGAGTCAGGATGTTGTGCTTGTCAGCGAAGGGGTTGCCCCATTGCCTGCATTCCGAGTTAGTAAAAATATATCCAATCGTTCAATCCAAGCTCTCATGTCACGTACGTGCTGAACTCATCTGGAGGAAAATCATGTTAGCATTTGTTACAACATCCCCGTGGAGAGTCTGCAGATCCTTACAGTAGGCATAGTCCGGGTTCGAGCTGAACGAGTAGCCGAAGAAGAGTGGGCCATCAAGGGTCTTGGTCTTGGCGATCTTGACAGTCTGCGCAGATTGTTAACAATGCTTCTCTCTAAGAACTATCAGATCGAAGGATAACCACTTACCGAGCCAGACGGGCGGAAGTCCTCGGCGAAGGTCTGTCCCGGCGACAGCGTAGTCAACGGGCCGGCAGCGCTGCCGTCGTAGGGGAAAGACTGAACGTAGATCACCTCCTGGCAGTTGTTCTTGACGACGGCCTGCTGGGCGACGACGCCGGTGGCCAGGAGAGCAGCGCTCAGGACAGAGGTGAAGGACTTCATTGTGATAATAGAATAGCTTGAGTGATCTATTGGAAACTCTCGGTTGGGTTGATGGTGAAGGTCTCATTCAGTTCCAAAACGGCGCAGAGCAGTCGGCTTATATACCTGGGACATCGTGACTCGGCCGCACGGGCGACATCTTGGCCAGCGTCATTGTCCGTCACCGCCTTCGGATCTTCGGTATATTTCTTTTGATGCAATCAAGACAAGACACCGCTTGTGATGCCAAAGCAAGCGACGTCCAACATATTCGGAGCCCACCTGGTCAGCAGACCAATTCAATACGAGCCCGAAGAGTCGTATCAAAGAGGGCGAAGTGACGTCGATCACCAGGGATCAGCATAATATACCCCGTTAAGCGATACCATGCCGCTCTTACCCCGGCCCAGATGATCCACAATACAGTGTTTACGAAGCCGTACGAAGCCGGCCTGTGGGGCAGAGGTCAGCCGTTCCTGGTTAGCGAGCTCGTAAAGCCATCCAGGGATTGCCGACTGCCGGCTTACCGCAAGCAGTGGAGCGCCAACGGACATGAGTGTAATGCAACCGCGTTCCAAGCATGACGGCCCAGGGGTGAACCGGAGATTCCTCATAAAGATCAGATAAAGTTAAATTTAGTGCACTAGATAGACTGCATGGCTGGTGTGCAGACTTGAGATGAGATGACACATGAAACGGCAGCTGTGGTGGGCGCAGAAGCAAGCATGCTCGTTGTCTGGCCAGGTTGTATGTATGCTACAACGAAGGAGATTTTTGAACGAGATCGTTTAAGAGTTGAACATTGATACTCTGGCGGGCGGTGTGATGTACCTAACGCCTATGGAAGCCTTTGAAAGTAAGCCCGGACCACCTTTTTCGGAGCTACGATATAGGTAGGTTTGCTTCTTACAAATCTGCGTTGCCAAAGCTGGCAGGACTTCAAGTTTGTGATGCCCATACCTCGAACTGATGAAGGAAGACTCATTCTCTGGACGTTTAACAAAGGTCAGGCAAAACGCAATCATTGTTTGGGATCGACTAAGGTGGCGGAAGAAGTGTCTAACCGTTTTGGGGGTTTCGAATTTGGTGGAAGTCGACTACCTGGACAATGCATTCTCACATGATGGAACTCTAACGTACTCCGAAGAGGCTAATCCTAAAGAGTGAGCATTGTTTCGGATCATTGGTATCGAGTGTCGGATAAATACTTCAAACACCTTTCCTGGGAAAGCTAGGTAGATTTATATAATGCTGTAGTCTGTTATTGGGCAAGCCTCTCGTCTAAAAACTTTCCCAGATCCTTGATGGTTTGCATAGAGGGTGGGTTGGGGACTTTTCCTCTCCACACTTCCTTCCCGTCATTGTAGACAACAATTGTAGGCCACCACACCACCTCCGCCGACTTTTGCACTGCCGTGCCTGGCTCCTCGAGGCCATTCACCTAGAGACATGTTAGTAAACAAATAAACTACCGTGCAAAAGGCGTAGACTTACCTTGAAGAATCTGACATCTCTATTGCCAGTTTTTGCCGCAATCTCCTCGAAGAATGGAGCAATGACCTTGCAAGGCGGGCACTGCGTAGAATAGAAGTCTATGACTAGGAATCCGGGCTTCTTCAACTCGGTATGATAGTCGTCTATGTCCAAGATTTCAGAAACACTATTTGTCGACATTTTGGAGGCTAGATATGGGACAACTCGGGGGATGGATGCACAAGTCCAAAGAGCTTTTATCCACCCGGGCTGGGTGTGCCGCTCTCATAAATTCTAGCAAGGATTCAACAGATCATAGCGAGCGGAATCGATCTGTTAGATGCTTCTTATGTCTATGGTCTGATGAGGGTGGCGCCAAGTACTGGACCCCGCTATGAATCGCCTCACGGTTAGCACGCAATCAATGCTAAAAATGGCCAATGCTTAGCTTATTATTGTCACATCTTCATGCCATCCTTTGCCTATTTTCATTGTCATTAGAATGATTTACTTGGTAAAGAAGGAACCCGATATCTCCAGTGTATGTCTATGGAGTCGCATATTTCAAGGAGTTGTTTCTGATTTGCTTACCGACCTCTGATTACATCTTAATTCTATCAAGCCCAAAAGGGCTTGATCTACATAACCGATTACACTGCAGTTCCAGAGACTGTCGGTTCCTTCTCAGGATGAGTCTCGTCATCTTCATTACCCGTGCTGACCCTAGGGCCCCGATAAGACTCAATTCCTAAAGCCGCAGCCTCCTCGCTTGAAAAAGTCCCGAACTGTTTCGCGTTAGCTCCCGAAGCAGCCGGGAAGGTTGGTGAATGAAACATACCGAATCGTAAGAGTCAACTTCTCCTAGCCCTGGCGGAGGCAACAGAGCGCTTAGTCCCCAATGTGCTAGGAACGAGATGGCATAGCCTGAGAGGAATCCGGTCCAAAAGACCCGAGTCAAGTCCTCAGGGATGGTGTTCTTGGGGTCAACCGACGCCATTCCGCCGATTGAGGGTGCAAATCCCAGGATCCAGGCCGCGTACGAACGCAGATTGAAGCCGTGGAAGAAATAGTATATGCCTTTAGGACTCGGCGTGTAAAGGTCACTCAACTTGACCTTTCTATTACGCACCATATAGTAGTCCGCAGTGAACACACCAACCATGGGTGCTAGGATAACTGAAAGCTTTTAGCTTGTAGGTTCAGAAGGGGAAGACAGTGACACATACTACCAAAGCTATTCAATGCCGCTGTGAACGCGGAAGCCTTTGAGATAATGTACCACGGGTTGAGAGCAATGGAGACAATGGCGATTAGGTGTGAGCCACGCCGGATATTGATGTACTTGGGCAGCAGGCCCGCAAAGTCCATGCCTCCCGACACACCATTCTCAACCGAGTTCAGGGCCAGGATGTTCAGCAGGAGCCCAAGCGCGGTGAAGAATGATGCCGCCCGGAGCTTGGGGTTGTGGTACTGAGTATCAAGCCACAGCTGAACAATATTGGGCGGGTTCCAAAGCCCCAGCTCAGTCACATCGCAGTAGAGCTTGCCGGCAGCCGAGGTGCCCAGGACGCCAAAGACGGGGACCACGAGGCCGAAGAAGAGCACACCAAAGGCTTGACCCCAGATCTGATTCCCCGGCCGGCGCGCAAAGCGGGAGAAGTCTGTTTGGCTCGTCATACCAACGGCGTTGCCGCCAAGGAGAGTCGTAATGCCCCGGACGAAAGCCCAGCCAAGTTCTGATCCCGGCTCGGCCGCCGTTGGGGATTTGATGTACGAGCCGGCACCTCCGGCTGCAGCCATAAGGCCGATTGACAGTCCAAATATAGTGATTGTACTAGTGATGAGAGCAGCGCGCAGGGGTTTTCTCAGGCGATCCGGAGGCAAGTACAGAAAAGGAATGGCTATGACGTTGTAGATGATGAAGCCAACGAATTGCTTGGTTGTCATGGATGCCGAGGCCGGCAAAGTGTTGGGCAAGTTTTGGTAGCCAGGAAATATGGTGGAGAGAATGGTGCTGACCAGCATACCTCCAGTGAAGCTCTGGACGCCATACCATACTGCCGACAGACCACAATCAGCCTCGCGTCCATTGGGACAATGACAAGAGGAACCCCTAGACTTACCGCAGGTTACACCGACACGAATGAGAATAGGTAGCATGGATCCCCATATACCGAAAGTGTAACGAGCCTGGACGGTGTATGAGATGTGCCACACACCACCGATCCTAGGCAGTACCCCGAGTTAGTTTCCGTCTATCACGCATCTGCTGAAGCCGATACATACCATCCAAGGCTGAGCACAATAGCATAAAGGATGACACGCGCAATTATGGTGCACAATACTGCTTGCCAAACACTGAGGCCGAAAGACAGAACAGAAGCAGTCGCTTGCCAGCCATAGATGGTCAGGAAAACAGTGCTCCATAGACCGACAAAGTCCAGATCTCTCCAACGACGTCGGCCTTTGATGAGAAAGGTTAGCTATATCTCTTTCCGTTCGTTGAAAATTCGGGAAGTAGCTTACTAGGCGGGAGGGGAATCAAGTCCCTGTTCTGCCACCGATCCGGAGGTGCATCATTGTCTCCTTGATGCAATTGCACCAGGCGCTTGATGTGTTGAAGCACACCGCCCATTGTGATGACAAGTATGATGACTTTAAAATTTAATTGAGACCATTTATCTAATTTACAGAATTATACACGGTGCTTTTATTCCCATTATGAAGTCTTTCTGTAGCTGGATGCTGGGTGCCTAGTCGAGATGGCGACATTGTTTCGATCCTTGTCGTGCTGTTTCGCATCACGCTAACGTTCTCCATCTGGAGTAGTCGGCCTTGGTGCTGAGACCTTCACTCACTCTCATCTTGTATCTCCTGCGAATCCGTAGTACCTGCCAGTTCGTAGTGCCTGTGTCTGAAGTCACTGGTACGGTGAGTGGTGTCGAGAGACCGGTCCAAACCCGAAAAGACGAGCACGTCGTCTCAAGTTTGTATTGCGTTTCTGCCTCTAGGAGACCGGGGCATCAGGCCGCGTTTGTATCGGCACTGGTCTAGGAACCGACTGGACCGCCTGAGCGATTCTGACACATTGGTCGGCATCATATACTGGTCTATGATGAGCAGGGGATAGTCCCGAGGCCGTGGATCTGGGACCCTTCCACGTGCGCCTGATGAGTCCATCTCCCCACCGCCTATGTATGTATTCAGAGCAATTCTTCAAGCCTCTGTGCGCGAAAATGGCGCAATACTGGGCCTCCTTGTTCCCATGCTTACCCATGCTTTTTTGTGAGGAAGATTATGAAAAAAATCCCGAGGAATCGTCCTGTCCGAGGGAAACGGGGAAACTGTTTGGTGAGAGAAGAAATCCGGGAAATCACAGCAAAACCAAGTAAAGAGATTCAATAGAAACCTTGATGAAGGGCCAGAAACATTTGAATGCCGATACTGGAAGCTACTCTAGAGGACATGGAATGCCTGATCTTCTACCTGGGACAGTACCTCGTTTGTCCCGCATAAAGCGACACGTGACCAGAAGATGTCTAATAGCTGTAGCGAAACAAGGCATCCTCCTTGTCCGTCATGTCGACCTTTTCTTGACCCGGGTCAACACTCTCACTTTGCGCCTTGCGGTCTCGAGCTCTGTTATCAAAATAACAGAGCAGCCAGTACAGAACAACAAGACCCAGGAATATGACCCAGATGACAATGGAGGCAATGAGGGCTTTGAGATAGCGCGGCGGCTCCGTCCAGAGTTGCGGGCCAGCCATGGCGCCGACACAGTAGCCGATGAAGTACATGGTGTTGACAACGGCGCGCTTCGTGTTGCCTTTGACGTTCGATGCGGACAGACTGAGCACTACGGTCATGATACAGGAGATGCTCGAGGCCTAGCAGAGAAGATAATGAGTCAGCATATTGCCATCATGCTCAAGGGAAAATACGTACTAGCCAAGACGCGACAATCATTCCCCACCCAGCACTGGTGTCTAGGACTAGGAGTAGAATGTTGCCAACAAGAGGGACGATGGTGAGCAAGATGATGATGAGTGACCTGCGTCCTGGGAGCAGCCAAATTCCGAAGATAGCAATCCAGATAAACATGAACTGAACAGCACCCGATGGTGAGCCGTAGAGCAAAGTCTGAAAGCTAGTGTAGCCGAGGTTCTTGATGACAAGCGAAGCGAACTATATAGCATCGAGTTAGCGATGTTGCTTGTCATGAAGTAGACAGCTAGCTCGTGTGGGAAGGGTCAACTTACAGTGAGTACAAAGCTGGCCATCGTTGACAAGAAGCCAAAAAGCAGAATTATCCAGGTCTTGGGATCTAAGAGCGCCTCTCGGAGTTGCGAATTCGAAAAGTTGGTCTGATCTCCGCCCTCGCGGTCCATTTTCATTCTCATCTTGACGATACCTCTCTCTTTCTCGGTCAAGAACCAGGCTGTCTCGGGATTAAAAGGGATGACAAGGGTGAAGATGATACCGGCCGCAATGGTAAGGCCACCGCAAATCAGAAACATCACGCGCCAGGCGGCAATGGAGATGCTGCCGTTCTTGCCGATGCCGTACATCATAAGAGATCCGGTTATCTGGGCGAGTGCGTTCATCGAAACCCAAAGTCTGATTTTCAACATCAGCAAAATTGTAATTCTGTCACGAGTGTTACAGAATATCGTCGGCACGTACCCAACACGTTGAGGGTGTTCCCGCTTTTTGTACCAGATGCTTGTCAAGGTGACGGCAGCAGGTTGAACGGCTCCCTCTGCGAATCCAAGAAAGAAGCGCACAGCACTAAAGCCACCAAAGTTGTGCGGCGCGGCGAGACACATGCAAATGGCACCCCATATAATACTAAGTGAAGTTAGATACGGGAGAGGTATCAGTCGATGGGCAGGTGTATCCACTCACATCGAGGCTCCGACAAAGCGAACAAGAGGTAGCCGACTCATGAGGTATATAACGATGGGTTCGGCGGCAAATTGTCCTTTGCATTTATCAGGTTAGCGATGTGGAATGAACAGTTGAAAGAAGAAAGTGCAGAAGGGGATTCTTACCGAAGTAGAAGATCGAGTTGGCCCAGGAATACTCATGGCTGGTCAATTTCAAGTCCTGAAGAAGTCCAAAGACAGATGCATAGCTAAGGCTTTGCTTGTCGAGGTCTGGTCTGTCAGCGTGTCGGTAAATGAACAGTTAGGTCGCTCAGACTTACACTGGAAGAAGCAAACAAGACAAAGCTGCCAGTCGGTCAGAACATTGCCGGAGATGCTGTCTCCACACAGACGCAAACTTACAACAGGCAGAACCGTCATGTCAATCTTTCTCAAGATCCGGCGCTCCTCTTCGGGCGCCCACTCGAGTGTCTCTCCGATATCACCTCGAGTCGGGTCTCCCGCGCCATCTAGTGCCGGCTTCGTCTCCTTCAATGCCAGCTCTGGCTCGGGTTGTGGTGGACTCATGGTGCAAAGTATTCCGTCGACGGTGCTCTCGTTGCTTGAAAGACAAAGGAGTGGCAGAGAGAGGCCAATGATGGCAAGGGTGCAAGATTAATAACTTTGCCAACCCCGGTATCTCCCACACTACCCTGTCAAGGTTCCCCTCATTCGTTTTGTGGCACTGTGCAGATGGTCCCTGGGGATCAGCCGTGAATTGGCTCAGAGCCCCGTTGATGATAAGAAGAGTGGAGAAAAGCGGCAATTTGCCGCATGTCGGCAAACTGCCGCTCCCAGCCCGGAGCATTTGGCGGAGGAGCTTCCCGACGGTATCAGGGCCTTTTGTAAATGAAGATTAGATATGTCTCTGGAGTGACCCCCTCATGTGAGGCCATCCCATGCGATACTAAGCCAAGTTTGGGAAAAGAGGTTGCTGTCAAGAACTTGAACCTCCCCTGATTCTGTGACAGCCTCCAAGCCTCCAACCCTCTTAATCTCCAATCTGCTATCGACAACCAGAGTCTGCCCCATGTCGCCGAATCCGGATATCCGCCCTTGGGCGCGTAAGCCGCAGCACAAGTACATTCTCAAGAATGCAAATATTGTCGATGCTGCTGAAGGCCGAGTGATCCCTGGGCAGAGCGTCTCCCTGGCGGATGGGAAGATCGTGTCTATTTCCAATGGCGCTATTGACGATGCTGGCTTCACCTCTATCGATGCTACCGGCATGTACTTATGCCCGGGGCTGATCGACTGCCACGTCCACATCTCCTTCACGCCTGGTACCGACACGCTGGGCGACCTGTTCGGAGTCGATGCGAGAGAGTCGTACTTCAGGCAGCCGTGGGTCTGCAACGAGATGTTGAAGAAGGGCTTCACGAGCGTGCGAGACACGGGAGGCGCGACTTTCGCGCTGAAGGAGGCCATTGCCGACGGCGTCTTTCCTGGGCCGCGGCTGTTCATCTCCGGCAAGGTGCTCTCCCAGACGGGCGGCCACGGAGACTCTCGCGCCAGACACGAAATCGGCAGCTGTTGCGGGGGTCGGATATCCTCCCACTGCCAGCAGATATGCGACGGGGTACCGGACTGCCTGAGAGCCGCGCGGCAAGAGCTGAGGATCGGGGCAGACTTTGTCAAGGTCATGGCCGGGGGTGGAGTCGCCAGCCCCTTCGACGCCGTATCTGACATACAGTTCACGCCGGAGGAGGTCAAGGCCATCACGACGGTGGCCAAGGGCCGCGGCACCTACGTCACTGCGCACGCCTACACTCCCGACGCCATCAAAATGGCCATCGAGAACGGCGTGCAGTGCATCGAGCACGGGAATCTCATCGATGCCGAAGTAGCCAAGCTCATGGCGGACAACGACGTCTACCTTGTCCCGACACTGGTCGCGTACTCGGAGATGGGCGACAGCCGCTGGGCTGGATTCCTGCCGCCCAAGAACCTGGACAAGAACGCCCAGATCCTAGACAGGGGCCTGGAGTCGCTGCGCATCGCGCGTGATGCCGGGGTGACAACCTGCTTTGGCACAGACCTCCTTGGACCCCTCGTGTCAGCCCAGACCAAAGAGTTTGCTATACGATCGCAGGTGCTCTCAGCGCTTGAAATCCTGCAGAGCGCAACGACCAAAGCGGCTAAACTGGTTCGGCACGAGGGCAGCCTTGGTCAAATCAAGGAGGGATTTATCGCAGACATTCTGGTCTTGAACGCAAATCCGCTCGATGATATCACGATCTTTGACAAGCACACCGAGCACCTATGTACTGTCATCAAGGAAGGCAGAGTTGAGTTCAGTCGCTGGCAGAACTTGCCTCCAGATGTTTAGGGTTAAGCGTTAAAAACCAACACACTTGAAGCGTGGCTCCTATAAGCAATCAGACATGGAAGCACAACTGGCACAGTAAAATACAAATTTATATTAGCGAGTCTGCCTACCAGCTGGCCAAGACTACTGAAATCCAAAATCAAGCAGGTCATGGATACCAGTGACATCTGCAATGAATGTATCAGAGACGGAAGGCGAACCGAGGAAGTCGTCTGGCGGGAAGCTAAAGCCAGTCTCAATCCCTGGCATCCAACCATGTGAAAGGTGCCCATGCATCCAGTCTGCTGAAGGGAGACCACTTCCTGGGAGGACAGAAGTGGCCCTGGAGTGATCAACCTTAGCGGGATCGATACCTACTGCAGCCATTCCTGGCCTCGATAGATCTCCTGTCGGTATTGTGTAATCCCCTGGTGTAGGCGAGTTGCGACTCGCTGTCTGGGGCGGCTCTCTAGATGCAATGAGCCAATTCTCGTATATGCTCAAAGCGTCGTCTTTTCCTGCAAGGTTTTCGTCTTCCACTGGGAGTGCACCGTGGATCCGGTTGTACGCTTCATCAGTCAGCCGCTGAAGGCTACAGATGAAATGAAGGGCAGCACGAGTCCGATCATTCTCCGCAGCCATGAACGACAGTGCGTTAAATGCCGACTTGACGTCGCTCTGATAGCTTTCCCCTCGATGTATTGCACCGTTGAGTAGCACGATTACGGTTGCGGTGCTGCATCCTTGAAAGTCGGTAAAGGACGATCTTGCAAGCATGTCCACGCTCTGAAGGGTTGAGTACAGATCTAGCATAGATCTTGCGGCCTGATGGCAAAGCTTGGGAAAATCTAGAGGATGTTGACATGGGTTGGGAACGGGGCCCGAGCTTGATGTCCTCAGTCTGTGCTCCATCGTGCTCTTCACTAACTCAACCAACGGTTCCCGAGTCAACATGATCCACGCGTGGTGGTAATTGGCGTGTAGATGAACCACAGCTCTGTAGAGTTTCGACTGGTGGTTGATGTGTCGTAGATCCAGGGATCGAGGCAGTGAAGACTTCCATGCCTGCAGTTCACGCACGAGGCGATGGACTTCTTGCATGCTTTCCGAAGTCGGATTCCGGAAAATCATCGGCCTACTCTGTATTAGCTGTCTTGCTATATATTCCGGGATACAGCATCTTACACTTGCTGGGCCACAGCCCGCCATAACCTTGCAAATTTGATATATGCTAGAAATAAATCGAGGCATTTATGTTCTTGGCCTGCATCAAGAACCCAGCATTGCCGTGGGAGTGGCGCTGCCACTAGCTCTTCCCTGAACCCTTCTGGGAGTCCCAGTTTGATAGCCGCGATACTATGCAGTTCAGTCTCGATAATTCACACATGATCAAAGGAAATGATGGAGTTGGTACGTACTCTTCGAGTAGGAACACACTCCAAAACGTGCGATGGCGGACCTCTCGATCAAATTCGGAAATATCCAGCTCGGCGCTGTTCAGGTGTAGGCCAATAGATATGGACATACGCAGGGCTAAGCCTAGATAGAGGTACGAAGTGCCACGAGCGTCGAAGGGAAATGCGTAGATAGAAAGCATTTCCAAGGCCTGGACTGACTCGACTGAAGGACTGGTGATTAAGTGAGATACCAGGGCCTGAGCGGCGCTGTAGAACCCGGAACCTGCCCGCTTCTGCATGCTGGCAGCTTCACCCTGTGTGAGTCGATTGTCGACTAGGTGTGCAAACTGAGTACCTATAGCAAATGACGAGAGTGCCATGCATAGAAAGCTGGCACTGCTATTGGAGGTATGGTCCGGGTCGTCGTAAAACTCCTGTATTCTCCTTCTGAATTGCTTGTGAGGGAAGTAAAAGTAATAGTCGGTTCCATAGTCGATGCAGACTCCGAGCAGGAAATCTGCCACCTGCCTGGGAGGGAAAGCGCGCTTTGTCCTCTCGAGCAGTCCCTCGTCTAAACGTTCCTTCGATTTCTACAACAAGATGTAAGCCTTGATACCGCAATAGTGATTGGTGAAACCGACCTTGGGCGATTTGGATGGCCTTGTCGGCGACGAAGGTCTTCCCAGAAACATGGATTCCCGCACCCTGTCAAGCAGATCTATGATAGTTAGAGCTTACAGTCTATCATTTATGACAGCAGTACCTTACATTGCGAGGACAAGTCTTCAATGACAAGGTCCGGTATTTTCTCAGGGCTAGTAGACGCTGTCTCGACACGTGCTGGTATGTCCATGCTGCTTGATCGGGGCGAAGGTAGTTCTGGCGTCATGGAACTAACATACTGAGCTTGTCTGGTCTCTACATTGAGTGGGAGCCACCACAATGGGGTACACTTACTGTGGAGGCCGAGCACCCTGTCTCCGTTCGGTGTTCTCGAGACTGCAAGCCACTCCACGCCGCGCACAGTTTACACATCCACCCGATGGAGTTGTTGTGGACAACGACTGAAAACATCGAGCCTTGCGCCTTTGACAGTAGGTACACCTGAAGTGACAGGTCAGCTCGTGTGCGATGCTCGGTTATCAGAAGCAACATACGCTCGTCGGGCTCGCCTGAGCTCGTCATCAGCAACCTTCCTACGCTGCACGGTTGCAGACGGCGAGTCCATGTTTGTGACCTAGATGTTCCCACAGAGGCCAAAGATTGGGTAAATCCGCCCTGAGTTCCCTCGAGGTATCGCTTTTATGACGAGAACCAGCCATGTGATTGATAGGCCTTGGGTTCAACAACGCGGGGAAGATCATGAGAATGCAGAGCGAGTGGGGAACGTTCTAGTAGCGTGCAATCGATAAGCTCTGTGGTGTACGATTCCACATCAATGGGGGAATACCAGGCCCTTTTACGCTAGCGTCAGGGGCCGACGGCCTCGGGCTGTCAATGTCCGCAGTGCGTACGGCCAACCACCATGTGATTGTTCTGTACATCTAGTCGTATGGTGTCTGTCCTTACGTACAGCCGATGACCTCCAATGTGCGATTACATCAGTATCGGAGTTTTAACACTGGTAACTCTCTTTTTGTGATCGTATATAGCTTTAGAACTATCAGTTAGTCCGACAGTTTGGTTTGTATATACCAACTATTTACAAAGTGATTTCGTCCTGACGGATTGTCTGGACAAAGGTAGGCTGAACTGTTTTCATCCCCTTTAAAGATTAGTAAGAATGAAAGAAATTGTATATTTACTGAAGGCTGGCTCGAAAAGTTCGTTGAAGCACCACACTCCTTAGTCTAGCGAGTAGATTCGTAGAAGAATAACAAGAGCACTCTTTTTGCGCAGCGTCTCGATCAATTGAATCAATGGGAATTATTCAGAGCTCTGGTCAGAGCTCAATCTTTGCAGTGTGACCATATTGGAACCTCACGGCAACCCGGGCAGGTTTTAGTTGTTAGTGGTGTGTCCGGGCCCTTTTCATACTTCTCTATTATCCCTTTATTACCAATAGGTACTTATCTAACATTACCTATTCTATAGCACTTAACTTATTTATTAAGTTCGCCTTGACTTCATTAAACATTATCTCTCTGCTGCGTATATATAACACCGCATTTTCTGTGTAGCATACTCTATACCTCATCTCTTACGCTGGATATTGAGAACGAGTAGGGGGCTGTACAACTAAGCAACTAACTAAGGAGGTGGGAAGCCCTCTAGAAGAGAATAAATAGGGATAAAGAGTGCTTAATTGATCAACTAGCTAGAAGGCCCTAAGCCCTATCACACTATATGAGTACCTGATGTATCACTCGATGTGGATTCGAGTTTTACACTGTCCCATATCTCCCACATCACATACAAAGTCCTGGATATAGGTCTCGCCGATGAATCTATATCTTCCGTTCGGGACAGGCCGCAAGATGGTAGGCGAATGAAAGCCGTGTAGAATCCAGATCTCATCTCCTTCCAGGACCGAGCAATGACTCATTCCGAACCTTTGAAACTTGGTTGTCACATAGTGGTAATAGTTAGATGCCCGAATAGACTTTCCCAGCCATACATTTGACAGAAAACCTGCGATTTCCAAATTGGTTTGGCCAATGCTCATTTCAGATATTGATGGGATCAACTCTTTCAGTTGTTTATGAAGCCCAAACTTCTCAGCACGAGCAGTGATTAGTGCGATTTCGTTTGAAAAAAGCGCCTCTCTAAAAGAGTCCATCGTGTCATCCGTGGGTGGTGAATCCGAGTCCATGTAGACACTGACAGTATCCCGAGCCCGTTCTAAGTCGGGAAGGAATGGCTCGCACAAAGGCTCTTCCTCTTTCAGGGTAGAACAAATGGCCATCAGACTTTTGTACTCGGCCTCAAATCGTTCTTGACGTGTCGACGGATCGTCCGTACAATCGGGCCAGATGAACGTGGCAAGAAGTTCAATCAAGGTACAGGGGAAGAATAGCCCAAAAACTGTTGGTGGGATACTATCGTCGACAAAATCCCTGATGATGCCTCTCCATAAGCTCTCCACCCGTGTTCTTTCCGGGCTACGACGGATGCGAAGAGCCAGCTGCAGGATAAGGCTTGGCTGAGGTGAGTTGCCCACAGAATGGGCAACTGTATCGCAGCAGAAACCATCAACAACAAGATGTTTGTTGCCGATATATTCAATATTTGGTCTCTCTTCCAAGTCCCAGAAGGTACTCATATCTACCATCAGACCGAGGTGCTTCATTTGAGAGTGGTCATCTAGTTGAGCAGTGTGTTCTGTCTGACTGTAATCTGGGCACCAGGATGGAAGCTGGGGATATTTTCGACCGCCATGATCGTCAACCTGAGATAGGAATGATAGATCGTTCCGTGCCCTACCAATAACTATTGTTGCGTCGACGTAAACACGCTCGACAGGCAAGCTGTAGTCAACATCCATGGATTTTGAGTTTAATCTTAGCTCTTCAGCTATTTCCAGTATGCCGTATATCTTATCTCGGTCATCCATGGCCTCTTGAGTGCGGACAAGATTCGCAATGTACTGGAACTCTGGCTTGACTGCCCCGTCGAGCGTCGTTTGACCTGCTAAGTTCATGCGTGCCTTCCAGATGAGAGACAGGGTTATCGGAGCGTACATAATGCATTTTGTCCTTTGCATGTCGTCGCTTGGGGCAAAACCATTCAACAGACCCCCGTATTGACCAATGAGTATGAACATACGGCCAAGGTCGAGGAGGATCGTGAAGTCGAACACCAGCTGTCCGGATACTGTGAAGACCTCGCGGGCCAGGATGGCCTCCTGGACGATCCATACTCTAGACAGCCATCGACGAGAGAGGAGCTCGGTTAGGGCAAAACGAGACGGCTGGCTCAAGCACCGGAACTTTTCGCGGATCGAGCGCATGGCACCTGTGTCGAATGCCCCTCTTTGAGCTACCAGATCCAATTCTGGAGTCAAAAGTGAAGCAGCTTGAATTGCCTTTTGTGCCGCTACGCCATCTTCTCCAAGCCAGACCAGACAGCTTTCGGCGGTCCGGTAGATCAAGCCCATGAGGCGTACTTGTGCTGCGCGCTCTTGTAGGTCGTCCTGGTCAATACAGAGTGCATCGATCCAAAAGAGCTCTGGGTCTGGCAATGCTGCCAGTTTAGAGCCTTTCAAGCTCTTTTCTAATAGCCATGTCCGATTTTGCTGGAAGTACTGAATCCTGCGTAGGGCATCTCGGAGATTGCGGGTACAGAGAATGATCTTCCCTCCGCAGTTGATTGGGTAGCAGCGTGCTTCTCCCGTGAATATCTGGGCAACCTCGTCTTGCTTAGGCAGGAAAGGCTCCCCCCAGGTGTAAGACAATGCTGTGAATCGAGGGCAGGACGCTAGCTGGTACTCGTGCATCGAGATGCGAATATGGTTATCCAAGCCGAAAACTCGATGCTGCCTAGTTGTTGAGCGGGCTTCAACCCTGACAAGACGAATACTGCCGACAGGTAGCGAGCGGTAATTATAGTATGGCGCTGGTCGTACGGGTTTTGAATCGGTGCGGGCCATGCTCGGGCTGTATGTCGAAGCCATCTTGTGTATATCTTGCGACAATCCTGCAGGTTATTGTGCGCGATGTTTGGGTCGTCAGGACGATGCGTTTGACCTACAAATACTGCGAGGTTGAAACGTTGAGCGAGTTGGTTGATTTGGGCAGCAATTTAGGCTCCAGCTCAGCCTCACAGAGGAAAAGAACCTGCTCAAATTCTGAGCAAGCCTGAATACTGCAGTCAATAGTGGGATAGTGTCACATGACATCCCTCGCTTGTGTCACACCTGAAAGTTCCTCTTAGCAATTTCCTTCCTCGTGCAGATGGGCTGATACGGTCTTAGCCAACCCTGAGCCTGTCTAAGCCGACCCTGAGCCTGCCTGAGCTGGCCGAAGCCTGAGCTCTTACTGATACAATCGAGAGCCATTGGCCAATGGGAGGAAGGGAACTTGAGTTATAGAACCAAGCACATTATATCAGGGACTCTACTTGCTCCTAAAAGTCTAGTGTTCCAAGTATAGGGAACGTTCATTCTGTCCGTGAGGCGTTTTCCTCAGAGGTGTCATTTCTGTTGTACGTAACTCCCAGCTGAAAAGTTGACCCAGAAATAGTCTGAACATATATCCAGAGGCAGATTCTTCCAAGGAACAGGACGGTTGACGCTCTTGGGCGTCCGGGTAAGTCGCCAGCAGTGCGCCATGACGTTCTCACGACTTGTGGCAGTGCACGCTTGTCTGCCAGCCAATAGGAAGCATTTCCACCGGGCCCCAGAGGGGGCCATGATGTCGTGATACCCTTATTCTTCGCTCGGTACTAGATAGATTAAAGCTGGGCCGTTGATCGAACTGCTGACATGAGGAGTTGATGGAGGGTAAGCCCGCAAATGGGGGCTGGGTAAGCCTAGAGTCGCAAGCGACAAGGAGACTGCAACGTTGGGGAAGATAGTAGCTTGGCACCAGCCAATGACTGCCGTGCCACAAGCATGCATCCGCGGGACATATATTACCGGTAGGGCAAAGATGGTCGATGTTTTCTATTTTAGCAGCTATATCACCAGCTGCATAGCACGGTTTCAGAATCAGGCAACTCTATAATGGTTAACGATGTCTGCAGGGGCGGAACGGGAAGTCCTCGGGCGACTTTTCGGGGGCGCGATTATCAATCGGTGGAGTGGTCGATTGCAGACTCACGACGGGGATAAAAGCGCTCAGTTCATCCGGGTCTATCCAGCACGGTATAGAGGCTTCCTGGGTACAGCAAACAATTCTTCTTCACCTGAATCTGTTGATTGTATGCCGTTGACGGCCTTATATCTCGTTCAAACACAATGAGCAATGCTACCAGCCCCTACACCGTGTATACAGGGTTCTGGGTCGACTACTCCCACGGGAGTGTCTTTGGGGCGACCCTGACACTCTCGCGCTCGGATGGCAGTCTGCTCATTGCGTTCCTCGCTTTCTTCGTAGCCCTGGTCGGCACTCGATTGTGGCGGCTTCTGTGCCTCGCTTTGCACTCTGCCTATTCTACCCATCTACCCCGGGATGCTCTCCACCATCAACGGCAGGCATTTCTCCGCAATACTCCTGCGGCAGAGCAAGGCTTGTTCACGCTTCTAGGGATGGGAAAGGCCTGGCGCCAAGCAAAAGCTTCCAGCTTGATGATCCGCCTCTTGCCCCTGTTGCTGCTAGCAGTGGCTTGCACCGTGGGGTTCACCTTAGCGAGCGGATACTCCTCGAGGGTCGCTATTGCGCAAGGGAGCTCAGTCCTTCTCCAAGGCGACAGGTGCGGCTACATGGACTACGTTCCGGACGAGAACGGAACCATTGCCGGGGGCATGGACTTTGACCTCTACGAGCAGGTCTACATCCCCTCCGAGTCCAGAGACCTTTCGTCGGCCGAGAACTACGCACGCCAGTGCTATGGCCTAGACGGGGCGCAGAGCGGAAGCGAAAGTGGCACGCTGAGCTGCAGCATCTTTGTGAAAAGGAGTTTGCCACCAGCTGTAGTAGACGCGAATGCGACTTGCCCCTATGACAAGACCATCTGCGTGGACCCGCACAACAACCTTGTCATTGACACTGGATACCTGGACAGCCATGACGACTTTGGGTTGAATGCCCCAGTGCAGGAGCGATTCCAATATCGTAGGAAGATACAATGTGCACCGCTAGTAACCGAGGGTTACAAGACACAGTTCAATACATCTAGTGAAAGGTCATACACTAGATATCAGTACGGGAAGAATTCGACTTCTCCAGACGATCACAACTACACGGCACAGTTCTCCAATGACGTCTATGTAGACCGAAGCGTGGCCGACAACATCTTTGCTGATTACGTACCGAAGTGAGCATTTTATTTCTCCTATTCCAGTAGCGTCTTTTGCTAACACATTCGCTCCAGTGTGGACATGGCAATCTATATCAACGGGTCCATTGATGTCAATGTTTCGAGCTTTGTGCCAATCGAAGAGCTGACAACAGAAAAAGGCGATGTGTATCTCTTCTTTCTCGGCACGACCGGCATCTTATTTGCTGGCGAGACCAAGGACCCCTGGTACCGCGCCACGCAGTTTTGGGAAACGATGACCCAGGACGGACTGTGGCACGGCAACTTGGATCTTTACAAGCATGACGAGCCTGGTTCACCCCTTGCTTGCACTGAGGCTCATCAGTTCTGCTTCAGTGATCTAGAGGGTACCCCGAACCACTGTACGCCTGAGCTGGGCTGGTACGATATCTCCGAAATGGCTTCGATACCATACCAGCAGGACAGCGACTCAAAGCAAAGGGTGCAGTGGATGGTCAACAGCGTACTCGGAGACTTAACCACCACAGGCAATGCACTTGCAGCTCTGGGTATTCAAATGCTGACTGCTCGCTCGGCGCTGTCGTCTGGGATCCAAGGCCCTATCCCGGACAACCAGTGGCAACTCGATGTACAGCACTGGCATGCCACTTCCATGGCCTATCTGCAGGCGAGATTCATCTACGGCGCGACGGGAGCACGGGACGCGAGGCTCCAGTCGATGATGCATAGTCCTCAGACGGACGTGGAGAAAAAACTCTGCCACAGCCAGGTAAGATACACGAGGACCATACCTTCTTAAATCTGTATCAATACTAACTGGACACTTGCTTGGTAGAAAATTCGCACAACAGAGTACATGTCCTTCAGCGTGTTTGGTCTCTGCGTCATCTTCTTTTTGGGTGGCGTGATCATCCTGCTCTCGATCATCCTCAGTCCCGCCATTCACTTCTTGCTGCGCCGGCGCTGGAAGAAAGAAGGCGACAACAACAGGCTGTACACGCACGTCGAATGGGCGGCGAACGAGGTCTTGCAGTTGCAGCGCCTTGCCCACGAGGCTGTCGGGCGTGGGACCTGGTCGTGCGGGGCTAGTGGTGTTCCGGTCACGGAGGCCGGACAGACGCTCGGCACGCTAGACCTGTCCAATCCTGCTCACCCAAAGCTTCACCCCTGTTTCAAGGACGAGGAGAGTGAGATAGGGAGCGAAGGAGGACAGGAGAAGGAACACATTGAGAAGGTTGAAAGTGTCATGGCCAAGTAAATTTTGCAAAGCTACATGAACCTAGCTAGCTACAGTCGTAAGACAGTTTAGAGGACTCTCGTCTAGAACATAACAAACAAAATGCGGAGGGACAAGCATGCAAGGGGCGATCTCGCATAACATATATTTACCCTATCTCGTGAATGCTGGCATCAAGCCCTAGATACCTCGAGATCAAGGTAACCAAATCGTAGACCTTGACTGCGCAGTTCTAGCCTGTGATACATCACGGTTGCAGGTAACCCTGGCAATAAGGTTGAGATCAGGACTCGGACTTTTGATACCCATACTCATCAGACATTCGTCTCTCATCTGAAGTTTGTCCGTTGACGTCCTTCCTTGAAAAGGCGTTGAAACTGATGTGATTCACAGACTTGAGCTCGTCACTCAAAAGTCCAGTTCATCCAACTGACTCAAGAGCCCTACTGACCTAGGAAGTGCGTGAAGTAGGTAACTTGGAGGTCGGGTTTTGTCATATAAATATCGCCTCAGAAGCACCATTTATCTCTGAGACATTCGTTGACACATCCCTACCGACCGTCTAGCAAGACATTTCTGGCCTTCCCGACCTCGGTAAACAGCAATTTCACACGATACCAATATCTCCATCGTCACCGAACGAATATCCTTCAAGATGGCGTCCGCTGAAGACGAAGGTATTGCGCGACACACCGATGCCGGCCCGACAGACCGAGAAGACCGCCAACCCCTGGGACAGAGCCCAGAGGGATCTCCTTGCACTTCTTTCACCTGCTTCCCGCAGCTTCCAAACGAGGTCCGAATCATTATCTGGAAGTTTTGCATCCCCCGACGGATTATCGACATTGCTTGGCTTGGGTCCGTCAACAACTATGTCGGGATCTTCAGGCGCGAGCAAATAAGTATGGCATACCGCAGCCTACGAGCCCCAGTCATCACCCGTGTCTGTAGCGAGTCTCGCAAGGTCGTTGTCCAGGAAGGAGGCCACATGCATATTATCAACAGAGGGGGCTCTCACTACATTTGGATAAATCCCAAATACGACATGTTCCAAGAAATCCAGCGCTGGACTGGCAATTATCCATACACCAGCCTGTATAGGACCGAGCGAACCAGGCAGCTGCATTCCACCGAGCCAATATCCTGGCTCGCTTGCGAAAAGGATGATACAGGTACACACCAGCTCGACATCGACGCCCTTATGCCACCTGACCAGCAGCCGGGTATGCGAGAGCAGATCTTCGTCCGTATCCTCATCGAATTTGTCCACGGACCATACGCACAGGCCACCAAGACGGGCCTTTTCGGCTTGACGGGCGAAGAGCACAGTATCTTTGTCGACCTCGGAGACACTGCCAAGCTGCAAAGGCTTGTCCAGCTGGAGACTCAGGGGATGCCGAGCGATGAATACCAAGAGCACTGGGACGCCAAACTTCACATGTGGGCCGCCTCTGCCCACATTGCTCTTGACAAGGCTAAAGGAGGCTATCTTTGGTCTCGTGTGCTCAGATACTTAGAGGACAACAACTTGACACGTGCTGAATCGGGAGTTTTCAAGACGCTGAGCGGGAGCGAGAGGATGAAGATACGCAACAGCACGATGTACTGGCAGCTACTCGATACGGAGCATCCATTGATTCAGGTCCTCCGCGAACAAGGTCCACAGTTGCGGCCCGTCATCATGTGGCGTCTCTGCGACGCAACCGCTTGCCCTGCGAGGAGGACCCTGACTTTTACATATTAGAGAAGACTGGCTGGCGGGCGTTCCGGGCTTGAGCTACCTTTTGAAGGTCCTGCTCTGACGTGCGGCGAGGCAGGGCACCTGGAGACGACTGGTTGCATGACAACGTTGATTTTACGATGGAGATGACAAAGGGGGCACACTTGTTCTCAATTTTTGGAAGCATCAGGTTTTGTAGAGTAAGGAGACAGAATGCAGACCCGACATAATTTACAGCTGCCGTGTCTTGACGAGTGATTGTCGCTTCCTCACATTCAGAATCAGAGTCCGTGATAGACTATCTCATTTCCTAGAGACTTGGGCTATCTCAGTACCCAAGTTTGGAAGCCGCGGCCACTGCAAGATGCCGTTCACCCAAGTCATGCTTGTGCCTTCCAATAACGTATAGGTAGCTAAATGTGACGGACCACTTCATTCATCACCGAGTGCGTCTTCTGCACTCAACACCCTTTTCTCACAACTTCAGTACCGGCTTACCATTGCATACCTATGTATCTACCCCTCCTTGATATCACTCACCTCACAACCGACAAGCTCAGACAATCACAATGGCGACGTCCGGGGAGGTCAGCGCGCAGAGGTATTCGCGCCTTCTCAGAAGGGCCAGCAACTTGGCGTTTTCCTGCCGAGGCAAGGAATGGCACGTCCACGAGAGCGTTGTGGTCGCGCACTCGCCCGTCATCCAACGGATGTTGGTAGCCGGGACCGAGGCATGTCGTGTTCTTCTTCTCTGAACTGGCGTTAAGAACTTGCAGGTTCTCCACCGCTCCGCTGACCAGACTGTGCACCAGGAGGCATGGACCCGCGTCATTCGGATGGATAAGTTTGAGCAGGTCGCCGTCGACAAGCTCGTCAGTTATCTCTACGGCGAAGAGTACACTGTTAGGCCTCTGGTTGAAAGCTTGGCGGAGGCGCAAAGCCCGGCTCAGGTTGCTGCAACTACGCATGAGGGTACGGACCCGATGACTCCGTCGGCCTCCACAAGCCGATCGGTTCCCACGCCTTCCACGAGTCCCAATACTCCCGAGACTCCCAAAACTCCCAAGACTCGCTCGACCTCTACGCATACGGCCTCGGAGCCTAGAAAGGGAGGTGAGCAGCCTTCTCGAGCCCAAGGCACCTCCATCGCGTCCGACAAGGCCGCCGAGATGAGTCAACATGCTCAAGATGTGCTCTTGCACATCCGCGTCAATGGCATCGCCGCCCACTTTGGTGTCAGCGGGCTGGTCAATCTAGCAAACACCAAGGTCGACACCATTCTCTGCGACCACACCCGCAACGTGGTCCGTTACCTGGTTGCACTCACCATCATGTCGATACAGGCCACTTATGACCAGGCGCTGATCGACATGCTTGGGCGGGCAATGGCCGTGAATATTGGTCTCGTGGTCAAGACCGGCCAGCTCGACGGCCCCAACGGCTTCGTATCGGGTCTCGGACTGCAGATCTTGAGAGACGTGGTCACCGTCCACGAGGACGACGTCTCAGAGGCGATGGAACTTCTGGAGGCGGAACGCCGCACCTGCCAACAGGAGAGAGAGCGACGCCACACTGAAGCCGTGGAACGCCTATCCCAGATTGAAAGGCTGGAATCAAAGGTCTACGATGCGGAAGCGATCGCTACAAGGCTCGCCGTGGCGGTCGGGCGGCTGAGTCTGACCCCTTCGTGCGGAAGGTGTGGCTTCCCGGGTGTTGTTATCGACGTGAAGAATAATATGAATCTACGTTGTCGCCGATGCTGGAGCTACTGTCAGACTGTGTACGGGACACCGCCATGATTTCCTGTTTCAGGGTGACTAGAAGGATCGGAAGGAAATGTTCTGTCGTGTCAGTCGCGGACACAGCGCTGGTGTTGGGTTGAAACGGGCAAATCTCGTCCCTAGCGAATTGTGTGTTTAGTTTTCTTTTTGAATACATATTAATTAGTGTAGCGAGGATTCGGGAGCTTGATAACTTGAGCCTACGTAATGTTGTTATCTGGGACTGCCGTATTCCTTTCACGCGGTGTATCTCTTCAACTCCTTGTCATAAATGATCAACTCAGTAGTATCCTTGTCTATGCTGAGCGTAGCTTTCGAGCTCCCATTCCGCAACACAGCCAAAATGATGGAGATCCCCCGAACACCGAACTCCAGCGGCAGCCTCATCACCTCGTATTTGCTGCTGCTCCGGCATGCGGATGTGGCCCCGGATATTCTGTCGAAGCAGTTGGGGTAGGTACACAAACGGTGGAGGATACTTGCTTGCTCCGCCCTCCGCCGTCCATCTCCGGCCCAAGCGGGGATGGGGTCATCAGGGAGTAAGGATCCGGATCCAATGGCCTGCACCCGGAGAGGATGCAGTGCAACACTAATTGGACCTTGAAGATTACACAGTAAGCTTACCCACGCAGAAGCAGTGTGCCAAGAAACTCGACTCGCAATGCATGCCGAGACATCGTCACCAAGTATGCCAGGTTATAATCATGACTCCTAGAAGAATATGAAATTATTTCAGACTACTCTTCACTACAAGGCATAGTTTTAGTGATGCAACATGTCGACATCTTAGGTTGATTAAAAAAGAGAGATTTTAAAAACACCGATTTCCAAGGTCCGTAGACAGTGGATGCCCACTCATGGATTCGCCGACACCTCCCCCTCTCATCTCTCAGCTCTCACATCATCACACGTAGACTCCATTCCAATCTTTCATTATGCATGCATGCACAGAAAAGAGGCCTCTGCGATAAACAAAAGACGACACGCGCGCGCGCAATAAGCAATAAAACTCCTCCAAAGACACAACCGAGTCTCGATGGGAGCTTTCTATGCCGCGAGGGCCTTCTCGCGGTGGCCCTCGGGCAGGACGTCCTCGAGGGTCTCGCCCGTGTTCTGCAGGTCGGTCTCGGTGGGGACGGTGTCGCGGATCTTGAGGAAGATGACGGGGGCGGCGCAGACGAGGGCGGCGCCGAGCAGGGCCCAGTTGCTGATGAACTCGGCCTTGAAGGACAGCTTGCGAGCGTCGAGGTTGTTGACGATGGCGGCACCGATGGACTGGACGCCCTTGTAAAAGCCGACAAAGTTGGCTGAGCGACGGCCCGAGTTGGACAGGGAGCCAATGTACCTATTCATTTGGACAATGTCAGAAAACGATGTAGCTTTGCTGGGTGCAGCGGAAGGGAAAACGTACCAGTAGATGGCGGCCTGCCAGGCGGCATCGTAGAAGCCGTAGAACATGTACAGGAACATGGGGCCGACGTAGCCCGGGGTGGTCCAGTCCATGGGGACGAAGCTGTCGAGGGCGATGCTCTCGCGGGTGTACTTCTCCTCAAAGACGTAGCCGCCGCCCCAGATGGCAAAGGTCAGGACGAAGAGGGTGACGTAGAGGACCTTGGCGCGGACGGTGCGGCGGACGCTCTCGAGATCGAGCAGGTAGCCGAAGAGCCAGGCGGCGAGAATCTGCATGGTCCAGTAGAGCAGCGAGTTGAGCGACTTGGTGCGGGTGGCGAAGTAGGAGCCGTTCATGGCGTTGAACTGGTAGACGTAGAACCAGTTGGAGGAGAAGAACATGGGGAAGAGCAGGATGACGAAGGGCTCGAAGCGCAGCGTCTCCCAGAGGCCGTAGAGCTCGGACTGCCAGGTGGGGTTCTTCTTGAGAATGACGCGGGTGCCGTCGGAGCGGACGATGTCCTCGGCGTTGCAGAGGAGCACGGCGAGGATGGCGCCGAAGAACATAAGGCAGATGAAGCCGATGTAGGTGCCGTCGCCGACGGTGACATTGCCCTTGACGCGGATGTTCTGGCCGAGGGGGATGAGAGAGCCGATGACGGCGCCCATGTTGAAAATGGCCCAGAACCAGGCGAAGAAGTGGCCCTTCATGCTTTCGTTGGGGTACGAGACCATGATGGTGCCCTGGGCAGTCCACAGCAGGCCGGCGCACAGGCCGAGGAAGACGCCGGCGAAGATGTTGAAGCCGGCCACGTCCTTGTGGACCGAGACGAGCAGGGAGATGGCGTAAATGCCGTAGCCGATGCCGCCAAAGGCCAGGGTATACTTGACGCCCAGCTTGTTGACGAAGCTGCCACCAAAGAAGCCAAAGACGGCGAACGTGGCGTACAGCGCGGTGTTCTGTGGGGTAGAAAAAGATTTCACGTCAGCCAATATTCGTCTCATCTCACTTCATTTCACAACGGCGGGAATCATCGAGTCGCGCTCGAATCCGGCTCATCTCAATCGAGTCATGAGAGGCAAAAGAAAAGACCAAATCTTACCATGTTGTCAGCGAGAGTGTGGTCGGCCTTGCCACCACCGCCCATGCCGGTCAGGGCGTTGAACATGCCGGGGCACATGAAGCAGACAAAGGCGACCATAATAAGCTGGACCTGGGGCGAGGCGTACCAGACCCGGTGGCCAAAGACGTTGAAGGTGCGGTACTTCCACCCGCTGGGCAGATCGACGACAGTCTCAGTCTCGCGCGCGAAGTTCTCGTCGTGGTGGCCCGAGGAGGCCGGGGCCGCCGACTCGGTAGCGACGGGGTCCTTTGCAGACATGACGGCGACGGAGTGCGTGCTGTGCGCGGCGATGAAGGTTGATTGAAGTGCTCGCGTGGTCGCGCGTGGTTCGCCGATTGAGGTTTATTTTAGTCCCACTGGGAAAGAGGAGCTGAACCAGTCTGGCGGGAAGGGTTAATGGGAGTGGGAAATAAAATAAAATAAAAATGTCGAGACGAGGTAGATCCCGTCCCCTTTTCAAGGTTTGAGATAAATAAAGATACGGGGAGCGGTGGTATTAATCTGACGGACGGGTGCATGCGTGTGTGCAGGCTTCGATCCTTTGCCCACAGGACGGAGTAGGTAACCTTCGGTTTTTTTTTAAATGTCCTGCTCCCTGCACCCCAATTACCCCAATCACCAGATCACGGTCGTCCGGGCGCGCGCGATGCAGGGTAGCAGCCAGCAAAGAGCAAGCAGCAGTGCTGGTTGCTATCGCAAGGTTGCTCCGAGCGTCCAATGGCCTCCTCCAAGGAAAGCAGACACCACCACACAACGGCGAAAACTGGGGAAATTCGAGCTTCTGGGCCTGTCTGCTGTGGCCGCGACACCGGCTGCAGGGATTGGGATTGGAGGAGGAGTGCAGTAAATGGGATGGATTGGAGGGATGGGACAAGATGGGGCAGCCTTCAACGTGAGCACAGGGGTCTTGTCGCAGTCGTGGTGGTACTCATTACTCCATCCATGGATACGTGCAACCAGGGGGACGGGCAGTCGGAGGGACAGGTGGGAACCAGAAGTTCGAGATAGCGAAAAAGATGGGTTAGGGGTGGGGAAGAGATAGTTAGGTAGCCCAGGGCAGGTGTCTTGAGACGGTGCAGTTCAACGATGTGATGGCGGTTTGGGTTTTGTGTGTGGTGATGCACCGAGTCCCGAGGATGCAGGTGACAAGTGCGGTGGGTTTGGGCGGGTTTGGCAGAACAGTGCATGCAGCGAGATTTTGGGGGATTCACGCGACCGACAGGCTCCAACAGCGACTGCCTCTGCTGGTGCTGGCTGGCACTTCTATTTTGACGGGAGTTATGTGACGTTACATGGCGACCAGGTCGAATGCGGGATAGGGGCGCCGCAAGGAAGGCGCGAGACAAGATTGGGAGCGGGAGGCGGCCAATGCGGGGGTGCGAGGCGACTGCCTGTGCGGCGATTGGGGAAAGCTAGGACGGACAGCACTGGACAGGTCTTGCCCTTCTTTTCTTCTCTTGCCCCTTCTGGAGATGGGAAGGGAAGCACATCCGCGATTCTTTCTCGGCCTTGATTGGCTGGACACGGGACCTCTTCGGCCGCGGGAGTGGGCAGATCTGATCACCGGTGGCCCTTGGAGGTGCACTAGCCCTGCCAGACACGAGCCGCAAACAAGCAAAAGAGCGAGCCCAGCACGCCCAGCACGCCCAGCAGCTAGCCAGTACGAGAAGATCTGCCTACCCGCGCGTGAGCATCAGCGACTTTCTTACCTGCGGCACACCACGCGACCTCGCATTTGCAGTGGAGGCAAGACAGGCCAAGCAAGACAAGACATTCACCGCGGGAAGAACCCTAGACAGCAGTACGAGAAAAACGAACAATCCCAAGACATGGGAAGGAGACGGAAACATGCAAAGGAGGCGCGAATCCCGTTTGCCCCCAGCGCCATATCAAGCAATGCGGAGATGCTAAGGACGCGCTAGGAACGTTATCTCTCTCCTCGCGTCTGTCCCTTTGGTGGACATATTAGTGGACTCGTCCCAGCAGTGCCAGCCTATGCCAGCACCTCCCATCATCTGAGCCGCCGATATAACGCCTTTTTTGTCTGTACCCCTCCCCTCCTTTTCCCATCCCATCCGCATTTCCCCCATACTTGGCCTACAAGACAAGACGCACCCGTGAGGCGCATGCCTTGTATCTGTCTTCTATCTGTTGGCATCCAAGCTGTCGCCGCCTGTCTCGATCTTTTATCGTTGCTGGAGAAATGCCATCATCCACAACGCTACCTTAGGTACGGTTGCTAGTGCACCAGCCACTAATCCGTACCTAACTGCTCTCACTGAGGAAAGGTCAGGTTGCGGCCATCCCACGATGTTTTAACAGCCATCGGCACACGCCCACGATCTGATGGCACATCAGGTCTCGGCTCTAGCCCATCTCGGCATGGCAGCCGGGCTCGACTCGGGAGGCTGAGGTGAGATGACGGGTCAAGTCTCCTAGGTACCTCCAAAACGAGGCGCTGTATCACCGGAACGTTACTTAGCTGAACTGCTGTGCGGTGCTGTCTCTCTTCTCTCTCCCCTTTGCCCATCTCCAGCGCGCCACTTGTTTCATCATCACTCGCACGAGCAGTTGCGAATCCTCGTTCTCGCTCCCATTTGTACACCCAGAAATGGTGAGATTTCGGGAATCACAGTAGGCTTCTCCTGTCCCTCGGCACTGTTTCTGCACCCCTGTCACATCACTCTAAATTGGATCTCTCCCGCTTGCTCATGTCACCCTGGTACTAGGGAAATTCGATGCTGCCACAACACAAGTCCCCGGCCCCCAAAAAGGTTCAGCTCGTCCTTCAAATCTCCACGTCCCAGTCCACGAGGTAGCATCCATCGCTACATCACCACCCACGGCCCTGCCATTCTCTATCGCTTCGGCGTTTATGACCCAGGCGCTTGTGTTTGCCATCCGCGCACCGGACGATCAGATCATCCGCGTCTCTCCCTTCTCGCGACATGCAGCATTGATGCACACACTGACATGTCCGGCTCGCCCTCGCAGCCAGCTGTCTGGTTCCCAAGATGCATGTAGGGTTCCACTCGGCTCCCGATCAAGCAAGCCCCGAGAGCCTGGCACATTCAGTCTGGGGTCTGTCAGAATTAACCACCCACACAGACATGTGACTCCTCTTTAATTAATATCACTTCATCAAAAAGACCACATCACATTGATGCGCATTCATCTGCAGGCCCATGCTGTCAGCTCAATTTATGTGAGGCGTATCTTGAGTGAAAGAGGTGCGTAGGCTAGTTAGTAGCTTTGAGCCTATATCGGACTCGTGAATGCGAGAGCATGCTGCGTCCGCTTGGGAGATCGGGATACTGTTCTTCAAGACATACGAACAACATACGATCTCTCGATTCTGGATCGATAGCTTGGACGCTTGCTCTGGGAAGGCTAGAAACAAACCTACGAGAACAAATCAGTGAGGAAATGGGGCGCGCTGGCTGCAGGTACATGGTAGCTTCGCTTCTTTGACAAGGTTGTATCCCATACCACAACCTACCTACTCAAAGTGCAGATAAGAATGCCCCATCTGGACCATGGTGCCGGTTGCATGGCCCCCGCCCGACCACATGGAGGTGTCCATGCCGGTAACCCGGAAGAGCACCCACCCCCTCCCACAGGCTGCGTCTACCTTGCTGACTCCGTACACGGGGGATCAGCTTGGGGACGAGGCACCTAGCCTGGAGAGCACGCGGATGGGGAGGCGACGGGAATGCAGTGAGAGCCTTACTTGCAGAGCCGCAGTCGCAGCTGAAGGGTCTCGACGAATCCTACGGAGCCGTCCTCTCGGGTCTGAAGCCCACCTGTTCCCGCGGGTGTTTGTGCTGGTCCTAGCCACAGGGTCAGACTGTGTGGTCTTTGGAGCCGCATTCTGTGCTCATGCGCATTGTAGCCGCCCATTTCTCATTCGAAATGCCTCGCCGAGTTGGTATCAGACGGGTTTTGGTGCACTACAACGTCTGGAAACGTGGAAACCATCGAGCTCTTCTCTCCTTTCAACAGCTGCATATCTTTGTCGACGTGCCGGTTCTTGTTTAGTACATGCAGGCCCAATCATACTCTGGAACTAACATGTAAGTGGCGCATGACTATGTTGAATCCTGTTCTTTAACCGTCGCATACGAATGATGCCTTCGGCGGGTTAGGATCAGGAGTGTTGATGCGAAGTTACTGTTGGGCCGACTCTAATAAGAACAGAGCTGACTTCCCAGCAGTCAAATAAGAAGGGGGCCAAGCGTGCGGCAACTTTTGTCCCTCTACAGACGCATGCCCACGAACCCTCAGCGCACCCCGTTTCGTGTACTCTCTTCGACTTCCACCGATAATATGAACTGGCGGCGAGTTCCGATTACTTCCCTACGAATCGACAGCACCATATATACCTAGCCTAACCAGCCCCATGTCCAACGCCACGAACAACAAACTCAGTCGAACGTCTTGTCTCAAAACGAGGCCCTGGCCGAACACTATTACGAACCAGTGAAGTTTGAACCATGCCATGATCAACTAGCAGATTCCCTCATGTCCACCATGCACGTCGAGTAGACAGTTACACTGACCGGACCTTTCACGCTTCCTTCCTCGGAGTGAGGTACACATTCAGCGGGCCCTTCTGCCAGAGAATGTACACCCTGCTCTTCTCATCCCAGCCCACGCTGTCGGGAGCGAGCTTCATGTCAAAGTTCCACACCATACGCGCCAGGATGAGCCGCATCTCGGCATAGGCCAGGCTAGCATGGTCCACCGTATTAGCATCCACTGACGCGTCACCGGGGAGCGAGTCGCAAAGACTTACTTCTTGCCGATGCAGTTCCGCGGCCCAACCGAGAAGGGGTTGACGACCTCCCTCTTGTCGTTCGCGAAGCGCGGGTCGCCGAGCCACCGCTCGGGGATGAAGCTGTCGGGCTGGGTGAAGTGCTCCGGGCTGTGATAGTTTGGCCACTGCCAGATCTCCGCGACCGTCTGGATTCGATCAGTGGTGAGAATGGTGTGTACAAAACAGCGAAAGGGGGCGGTTGTTGTAGTTGCCCGTTGCAGACTGAAGATGAAGACGAGGGAAGGGGAGAAGATGAACTTACGCCACCGGGGACAAACTGCCCGAGTATGACGTCCCCGCCGGGAGCGATCTTGCGGGGCCCGCTGGCCGGCACCGGGGGGTACATGCGCAGGGACTCGTCCAGGACGGCGAGCATGTAGTCCAGCTTCTGGACGCTGACCAGGTCGATCTGGTCTTCGGTCTCAAATGCAGACCGGACCTCTCGAGTCAGCTTGGCCATCGCGTCGGGGTTCGCGAGTATGTAGTAAGTGGCGGCCGAGAGCAGGGTGGCAGTCGTCTCGGAGCCGGCAACAATCAATACAGATGCATTGGCGGCGATTTCATCTTCAGAGAGTTGCTGTACAGTTTCCGGAGTCAGCAGCCGATCAGTCGCTCTATGTGCTCGCCCTTCCTTTCCTCTGCGTTCTCATTTATTCAAGTGGCGAGAAGGAGAGCTGGACTCACAAAGTCACCTCGCTTCCTGACCATCGTGTCTATAAAGTCCGGCCGGCTCACCTTGGTGGCCAGCCGCTTCTGCACCTTCTCCCGCGACAGCTGCTTGTGCTGGGCGAACTTGGCCTTGACCTCGCGGGGCACGAACCACATGAGGACGTCGAAGAGCGCCGGGTAGCGCTTCATGCTCGTCGAGAAGGCCATGTCCTTGATGCCCTCGAAGATGAGGGAGACCCAGGGGTGGTAGGTGAAGGTGTCGAGGCAGCCGAACGGCTCGCCGAAGGCGAGGTCCCCGATCACGTCGAATGTCGTGTAGTTGTACCAGTTGACCACGTTGACCGGCCCGCCCCCGCCGGCGGCCTTCTCGCGCAGCTTGTCGAACAGCCTGTCGACGTAGGACCTGATGATGGGCTGCTGGTCGAGCATGCTCTGCGCCGAGAAGCCGTGGGACATGACGCGCCGCATGCGGGCGTGGTCGGCGCGGTTGGCGCCGATGATGTTGTCCAGGTTCATGAACTGGTGGATCGGGTCCTTGCCGTGCTCGTCCTGGTGGTGCTTGCGGTGCCCGCGGATCTCGGTGAACGCGTTGGGGTGGCTGTAGGACAGCGTGTCCGGGGCGACCCGCACGACGGTGCCGTACCGCTGGTGCAGCTGCAGGATCTTCTTGTGCGACTGGCCCGACAGGTACATGCGCGTGTAGGGGACTCTGGTGATGGCCCAGAGCTTGGGGCCGGGGTAGTTGCGCAGCGGGTGGAAGAAGACGTTGTATACTGCTGTGCCGACGCAGTAGAGCTATTCCTCGGACCATGGGTCAGTGACCAAGAGCTAGTCTTCCCCCCGGCCCATACAGCATGAAGGAGGTTTCGAGAGTCTAGACATACCAGCGAAGCCACGAGGAGAGCTGCCACCGTGGCAGAGCCAACGGAGCTGAAGACATTGTAGGTATATAGCGGAGCCATGGTCTCGAATCCTACGTCGACATTCGTTGCAGCATTAAAGGTTCATGAGAGTCATGGGAGAGGTCCTAAAGGAGAAAGGGACAGGACAGCCTCTTAAATATTAAACACATGGCGTAGTATCGTCGGCGTCGGACCTTGCCCAAGCGCCGTGAGTCGGTGGTATGTGCGGTTTATGCAATATCTTGCTGGATGCGGACACTTGACTTGCATTAAAGGCGCACCTGTTACGAGGTACGGAGTAGTGTTGCTGCTGCAGTGGGTACTGATCAGCGATGCGACTCTGTAACAAGTGAAGTGACCGTGCAGACGAGCGGGAATGAGCGGGGATTGCCACGCACCGGTGTTTTAAACGGTCCTTCTTTACAAGTGTAAGGAGGCAAGTCCCTTAAACACATAGAAAGGATTGTCTTTCGTCTAGCCAAGCTGGTGTAGCCGGCTTCACGACTGTCAGACTCCCAACTGCGAATCAAAGCCATTCCGTGACTCTTCTGAACTTGAAGCAATTCGAGAAGATACCTTCTGGGAATCAGATACGATACCTGTTGGATCTGGTTTCCCAATGCGGAATGATTCGAGAGAGCTGAGAGCTGAGACCGAGGACGGAATAGTGCTCGTGGCTTGCTTCTTTTTCACCCTAGCGCGTGGATCAACGGAACACGGTGCCGAACCGGGGCCGTTGTGCACGCATGCAACGGCCGCACAACATTTAAAGTGGCGGGAGCTCCCTTGCCAAGTCGATCAACTGCCGGAGCTACGTGGAGTCCGCGGACTTTGCAAGAGGTGGCCAATACTGCTCTTTATATTAATATCTAGAAACAGCGAGATCGAGCCCTTGATTGGCCCCTGGTGATCAATACGAATCTGTCGGTGAGTGATATTGTGCAGACTCCTGGCGTGCTCATCAAGCCTGTGCCTGTTCATGATACGTACGCACCAGTCAAGTCGCCTGCCCCCGACTTTACCATATCTCCATTGTCGGCCTTCGGACCTAGACCGACTCATACCCTCCGACTGCCTGCTCCGCTTCTTGCTTGTCAGCTGGAGCAGGGTTGTTGTTTCGACAAGGCACGCGCCTGAGCTCCCCACAAACGCCCTCGTCTCGCGGCCGATTCCGCACAGGAGCGGAAGTGTGTGCGGAATTTTGATGATATTCCCAGGCCCACCACCACCTTTCTTCCCTTCAGAGAGAGTATTTCTGTTGCTTGCCATTCGTGGATTCCCATTAGGTCGCCCTCTGTTTAGCTTTCATCACCCCTCCCTGCTCCATAGCGCTGAGCGTCGAAGCGTCGAAATGCCTGAGAACGGCAAGACCTGACCCCGACGTGCGGCTTCTTGTAGTACAGGGGCCTTTGCTTGCTAGTCAAGTTAGCCCTCTTCTTGATAAGGAGAACCCTAGCTTTTCGTATGTCCATTCAGGGGGGCGGTGATCAGAGGGTTGCAGAACAGCATTTGTGTGTTCAGAATCATTTCCAGGCTCAACTGACCCTTGGTATTCATTAATCTATCATGAGTTGAATCAAACTCCTATCTCATTGCGCCAGGCCATCACACAGACGCACCAGCGTCGTCGAAATACCTTCAAATTGATAGGCTACAGGGCCGGCGTCTCACTGGTAGCCGCATACGGCCTCCTGAAGAACATATTCCTTTCCCAGCCATCGATCTCGTCGACGACCGTCTCGCGCTCCAGGGTATACCTCCCAATCTTGGGCAGAATGACGGCCCAGAATAGCCAGTAGACGCCGCCGGCAAAGATGATGCCGAAGCCGACGACGCAGTGGATCCAGTAGGGCAGCGTCTCGTAGACGTTCTGGCCGTCCTCGGGCGGGACAAAGGGCGCGGCAACGAGGTAGATGTTGCTGAGCATGAAAAAGACGGCGACGGGCAGGGTGGCCTTGATGGGCGGGTGCCAGTTCCAGGTGTCCCTGTGGAAGTAGAGGAAGACGAGGCCGCCTGCGACGAGGGAGTTGAAGATGGCGAGGGGGTACGAGATGAGGCTGTTAGGGGGTTCTTAGTTAGTCACGTAGACAAAGGGCATGACTTCAGGGATGGAGACAGTCATACTTGAGAATAAAGTTGTAGGCGTCGCCAGGAGGCGGTGCGAGCATGGTAATGACGCTGATGAGCCAGTGCTCAAAGAGGCCAGCGAGAGGCGCGTTGAAGGGCCGGTTGCTGGCCCAGAAGCGGGAGAACGGTAAGATACCCTCTCGGCCGAGCTCTTGGACTAATCGACCCTGAGAGAAGATGACACTCAGGACGTTGCCGAACGCAGACAGAGCCACAAACACTGACAATGCCCGCTCGGCCGCGCTTCCGTAGACATTACGGAACAGAGACGCGGCAACGAGGCGCTTCGACGCAAGGATCTCCTCCTTGGGGACCGCAGCGAAGTAAGCGATGTTGACGAGCATGTACATGACACCAATGCTGGCCACGGCAACAGGCGCGGCGATCTTGAGCGTGCGCACGGGGTTTTTGGTCTCGCTGAGGGCGTAGTTGGCGTTGCTGTAGCCGATGTAGCTCCAGATGACGTTGTACAGCGCCGTGACGACGCCGTAGGCGCTGCCGGTGGTGCCCTCGAAGGCGTTGTGGAAGTTGTTGGGCTTCTCGGGGATCTTGAGGTGGCCACCCAGCGCGATGAAGCCGGCCAGGATCATGAGGAAGATGATGACGAGCTTGATGACGCCCAGCAGGTTCTGCAGGCGCAGGCCCCACTTCAGCGCCGTGCCGTGGATGAGGAAGGCGACGGTGATGCAGGCGAGGCCGACGCCCCTCTGGTTCCAGCGCGTGACCTCGACCTGCGCCGCGTGCAGGATGTACTCGCCAAAGATGACCGAGTTGCCCGCGGACCAGCCGAGCAGGACGACATAGCCCGTGTACAGGCCCGTGGCGAGGAAGCGCGGGCGGCGGTAGACGAACTCGAGGTAGTTCTTCTCGCCGCCGTTGCGCGGGATGCCCGTGCCGAACTCGAGGTAGACGGCCGTGCCGGCGGCGGCGATGAGCATGCCTGCCACCCAGATGAAGAGGGAGAGGCCGACGCTGCCCGAGAGGGAGAAGATGGCGCTCGGGGTCGCGAAGATGCCCGTGCCGATGATGCGGTTGAAGACGAGGCCGGACGCGGTGGGGATGCCGATCTGGCGCTTGGCCTCGCGGGCGTGCTCGAGTCGTCCTGGGCCGTTTGGGTTAGCATGTATAGGAACAGGCATAGTCTGGTCGAGGAGAAGCCGTACCGACAGCTTCGACGTCGTCTACATCACTCTTCATCGGGACTTGATCATCGCCCTTCTTGTTGTCGCCATAGGCTGGCGGATCCTCCAACACGCGACTCATGATGAGATGTCACTAGATCTCTCCTGTCCACTTTCACCGTAGAACAAGAGAAGAAGATATCGACGGGGAAGCACAAGATTAAAAATCTGGAGACGGCAATGGTATTTAAGAAGTGCACCTTCAAGGTGGACCACGAGCCCACACCACACGCACACCTGGCCATGGCCATGTCCACACTCGATCACCGACGACACGACATTAAGCATTTCTTAGCCCATCCCGGACCAGGCCGGATCAGCCAAGCCCATGGTGTCATCGACTAGGCGTTTTGCAAAGCACTGTCTCCTGCTTTCGAGCTTGCGCCAGGGAGCTGTGCCCTTGTCGTCTTTTTGCAGAGCTTTCTCGCCGTTGCAGCGTCGTCGACGAGAAGTGGAGATGCTATGACATATTTTTTCCTATTTAGGCCGTCTAGAACGATTGCGCGATCGCCCATGCGAATTTTCTGCTAGCTCCCGCCCAATCAAGTACCGGCCCTCGGCAAATCTCACCATAAAAGCGCCGGCTCGCGCCTCAAGGACAAGCAAAGGCAAGCTACCGTTTGAAGGTTGTTAGGTCGTAAAGAATACAGGCGATAGGTAGAAAGCCCTTGAATCCAGGGTTTGTGGCTGGGCTTCCTCCAGCTGGCTGTTCCAGCTTGGGCGAACTCCGGATATATGGGTTCAACCGCTTCTTTACGGAGGCACCATACAGAACTCGCTGTCTACTCCCAACCCTTGATGGATTTGGCCTTGATACATATTGGGAAGGTGAATAGTCATCATGGCGAGACTCGACGCACTCTAAGCCACCAAGAACTCAAGGTTGCTATGATGTGATTGCTTAGCGAAGCGGTTCAGGCATTGAGGCTGTTATTCTCATCAAAGTCCCCTATGGTCTGTCCTAACCCCTTGTCGCGATCTGTATCGTCAAGCACGCGACTCACATACAACACCAGGCCGAGAACTCGTTCGGTAAAGATATAAAGAGAATCTAAGCGATGTCGTGCTTGATAGTGGCATGTTCTTCTCTGCTGGAAAAAGCCCGCGCAGGCTCCGAAATTTTTGGAACTCGTTGCTAGCAAGCACCTTCCCGCCACCTGCCCTTTGGATATGTATCGACTACCTAGCCGTCTGGTGCTGCCACTTACACATTCGCACGTCTCACACGTTAGCCGACCCTGGATTATAGATGGCCTTGCAAGACACGGTTGCATCAGCGTTATGGAAGATGATGTGAGATCAGCCTCGAACCAGCTGAATTCAGCTCCACTATTCATCGGACGTTCAAGCACGTACACTCTCGGCAGCAACTAGACTATACCGCCTGGGACGAGATGCATGGATCCTAATCTCTCGGTTTCTGAAATTCTCTCAAGAGGATGCCTTTGCCAAACGTTGCCCACGCTGGTGAGTTGATTTTCTTTGCTTGCATGAGCACGGTGAAGTCTAGGGACATGATAGCCTGCATGGGCAACATCCAGTCTTTTACTGCCCCCCTCAGCAGGAAGATGAATCGTATAAGTCATTTCCCTCTGGACCAATCCTTCACCGAAGACGGAGGCGCTGAGCGGCCGAGCCCGTTATCCTGAGGGCGGTATAATGTGGGGCTCCCGGACGGCATGACCCGACCGGCCCCTGAGAGGGAAATCGGGCGGCTAGCCTGTCCGTTTCGGTGGACATTGGAGCTATTTCCATCTTTGTGGTGTGCGTGGAGGTTACCAGGCGGCATGATAGCACACACAATATTTCACCGGACAGACTATTCTAATGTATCAAAATCCAAGGAGAGCGAGAGCCCTCTGCCGCAATACACGGGTGCTCATTCCGCCGTGTCCAGGCGAAAGGCGCATTTGTTCGCAGAGAACGACAACTTCTCTTGAAATGCATATGACAGCAGAGGGTTCGAGAAAAATCGCGGTATATAGCCGTGTCTCCTGGTATCGTGCCGTCCCGGATATCCAAGCGGCCTGGTTCTCCTTCGAGGTCATAATTGCAAACGACGTGCGAATGTTACAGGCGCGGCCATATCACAGAAACCCGGCGGGGTGAGGCCGAATCGGGTGCCAAGAGATGATCTCGCGCGCAAATGAGATCTCGTTGCTAAGAAGACAATATCCAGCCGCTTTCTCTCCCCTGCCAATGTATGCCAAGGCGGGGTGACGATGTGGCAGGGAATCAATCTCCCAGCAATCGGGCCAAAGCAGACTGCCAAAGCCCATCTTCTCGTTTCTTTCTTTTTTCACGGGTTAAATACAGTACTCGAGCTCACATGCAAAGAGGCGAACTCTCGCCAAGAGTGGTACCTGGCAGACGACGCAATTCTGCCGGATTTATCCAGCACGATTTTACCCTGGGCACGCGGGGATCGGACTGGGGGTTATGAACTGTGCGGCTCTGACCCCAGAGAGCCAATGCGCGAGACGGGGCGCCATGGGCCAACACGATTGACGAAGCTCCGCACGCCGCGTCCAAAACGGCAGTCTGCCCCTTGTCCGGAACGTAGGTTCACTGGCATTGGGAGTGCAGCGGTGCGAGGTCCCGGGGCTTGGTACACCGACACCCTGGCTCGCGCAGCCGGGTAAATGTGAAGACCCAGATGATCGTCGGTTGCCCAGTCCCAGGAACCGAGCTTTTGCATCTCCCGTCGAGCGGAGCTGGGACCGTGTATATCAGGCATGGGGCAGTCCTGTGCTTCCCTTGGGAAGGGGAATGTAGACGACAGTCGCCTCACTTCTCAGCTTCTCCGCGTTTCTCAAGTCCAAAATGCATCTGATCTCTTCTCTTGCGACGGCCCTGGCCGTAACGGGCGCCGTCACGGCTGCACCGTCTGATCCCCTCAAGTACGTTCGCGATACGACCCTCAATTGCCGCAAAATAGCCTTACTGATATCTCACAGGTGCCGCCAAAACTCGGGCCTCAACGCCGCGATGGTCGCCAAGGGCAGGCAGTACATCGGCACCTCCCTGACCATCCGCAACGACAACGCGGAGCAGAGCATCATCCGGGGCCCCGAGTTCGGCTCCATCACCCCCGAGAACGCCATGAAGTGGGACGCCACCGAGCCCAACCGCGGCCAGTTCTCGTTCGGCGGGGCCGACCAGATCGCCAACTTTGCGACGCAGAACAAGAAGCAGATGCGCTGCCACACGCTGGTCTGGTACAGCCAGCTGCCCGGCTGGGTCAGCCAGATCAACAACAACGCCACCCTGATCCAGGTCATGACCAACCACATCAACACGGTCATGGGCCGGTACAAGGGCAAGTGCACGCACTGGGACGTCGTCAACGAGGGTGAGTAGTCTCCACAGCGCTGCCTCTAGCTATCGTGAAGCTGACGAGGAGGTGTAGCTCTCAACGAGGACGGCACATACCGCGACAACGTCTTCCTCAAGGTGATCGGCGAGGCTTACATACCCATCTCCTTCCGTCTGGCTGCCGCGGCCGATCCCGCTGCCAAGCTCTACTACAACGACTACAACCTCGAGTACGGTGAGGCCAAGGCCCAGGGCGCTGCGCGGATCGTCAAGCTCGTGCAGTCGTACGGCATCAAGATCGACGGCGTCGGCCTGCAGGGCCACTTGGTCTCGGAGCCCACGGGCACGCAGAAGACCCCCACGCCGTCGCAGGAGACGCTCGAGAAGACGCTCAAGATGTACACCGACCTCGGCGTGGACGTCGCCTACACCGAGCTGGACATCCGCATGAACACGCCCGCCACGCAGGCCAAGCTCAAGGTGCAGGCCGATGCGTACGGCCGGGTGTTTGGCTCGTGCATGGCCAACCCGCGATGCGTCGGCATCACCCTCTGGGTAAGTTCACTGCGATGAGATGACGAGACTTGGGGTCAATCATGAGAAACTGACACGGCGTGGGACAGGGTGTTTCCGACAAGTACTCGTGGGTCCCAGGGACCTTCTCGGGCGAGGGTTCTGCGTTGCTCTGGGACGACAATATGAACAAGAAGCCCGCCTACACGGCGGCTCTGAACGCTATCAATGCTGCCCCGACGTCCGCTTAAAAATTGGGATCTCGCGACATGGGCGACGAGCTCGCTTCTTTAGGGAAGTAACAAGCTTAAGAAAAGGACGCCCAGAAACTTAGCGGTGCCGCCGGTTGCAAGCTGGTGGCGGTTGCTTTAGCTCCTGGCGATATAAGCTGTTAGCGCAATATTCAATTCTTGTAGATACGACTCGGCATGGGCCGCATAATCCAAGATAAACTTGACGATCTCATCAGTGTTTGTTTGGTTTCATTGGTGGATATCACCTCAATCCCGTCTTGAAACATGTTTAGGGGGTTTGACTTCATCACGATCGCCTCAAAGAAATGAAGCACAAGTTGTTGACTGACCTTGCTGTGATACTCGCAGAGAGAAAGCGAGTACGGATGGAGTTCGCATAGGAGGAGTTCAGGAGCGTTAGAAATGGAAAATGACAAGCCGCCAGTTTTTTTTATAGCCCACAGGGTTACAATGCACAATGAAATCATTTGATGCCTGGGACATCAACTGCATGAGAGCTGGACCATCTTGAAGATCCCAGTGCCGTGCCGCTTCCTAATGGAGTCGGTGGGTCGGCGTTTGTCATGCCGAGAGAAGCTTGGACCACCACACCTGCCTGCACGGCGCTGTTATGATGATTCAGGTGCCTCGCCGCCACCAGGCCGGAGAGCTGACGACAACAACAGCACGACCATTTCTTCTGCCTCTTTCATCTGGTGGACCACGGATACGTATTTCAAACCCGATCTAGAGCCAAATCAAAAGCATACCGGTTGCGCCATGGTGCGCCTGCAGACTCTCGTGGCCCTCGGGTCTCTGGTCCTCCCATCCGTCACTGCCGCGACGATCACCCAGCACAAGTCGTCGCAACCGAGGAGGACGGACGAAGACAACGACGACACTCCCCTACCACTCGTCATCTGGCATGGTAAGTTTCATTCTTTCCAGAGTGCAGGATATCCACCGCTATCACCAGCCGGACATCCGCCACTAACCGTGCATCTCCCGTCTCCAGGCCTAGGCGACAACTACGCGGCCGAGGGCCTCCAGTCGGTAGGCGACCTCGCCGAGGCCGTCAACCCGGGCACCCTCGTCTACTACGTCCGCATGGACGAGAACCCGTCGAGCGACCGCTCCGCCACCTTCCTCGGCAACGTGACGGAGCAGATCGCCAAGGCCTGCGCCGACATCGCCGCGCACCCGATCCTCTCCACGGCGCCGGCCATCGACGCCCTCGGCTTCAGCCAGGGCGGCCAGTTCCTGCGCGCCTACGTCGAGCGCTGCAACAGCCCGCCCGTGCGCAGCCTCGTCACCTTCGGCAGCCAGCACAACGGCATCGTGGCCTTCCGCGACTGCGCGGCCACGGACTGGCTGTGCAAGGGCGCCATGGCGCTGCTGCGCGGCAACACGTGGTCGGGCTTCGTGCAGGGCCGGCTCGTGCCGGCGCAGTACTTCCGCGACCCGGCCGACTACGGCTCCTACCTCGAGAGCTCCAACTTCCTCGCCGACATCAACAACGAGCGCGCGCTCAAGAACCAGACCTACCGGCGCAACCTCGCGCGGCTGGAGCAGCTGGTCCTGTACATGTTCAGCGAGGACACGACGGTCGTGCCCAAGGAGACGAGCTGGTTCGAGGAGGTCAACGGCACCGAGGTGACGCCGCTGCGCGCGCGCAGGCTCTACACGGAGGACTGGATCGGCCTGCGGGAGCTGGACCGCAAGGGCGGGCTCAAGTTCCGGACGGCCGAGGGGGAGCACATGCGCATCACGGACAAGGTGCTGAACGAGACGTTTAGGGACTTTTACGGCCCGTACGGGAGGACGTTTGCGAGGGATGACGTGTCCTTCTCGGATGAGCTGTGAGGCGATGGGTGTCTTTTCTGAAATTGTTACTGGTGATGGCGTTTTTTGGTAGTGTATTTGGTTCGTCCTATCACCTTGGGACATGAGCACATTCAATATCGTTCAGCTCGCTGAAACCAAGGGATCTTGGCTGCCACGTTGACTTGGCAGATCGTTTGACAAGCGGTTTCAATCGCAAATCGTCCAAGGAAACAGTCATGTTATTAATCACAGATCCATTCAGACCCAGTCTCACGCCAGGAGTATATCATTACTGCGTTGATATTTATAAGAGCCCGTGGGCGATGTGTCAACAGGGCCCCAGGCCGAGCCTCGGCATGGCCAGTCAGCGACGCCTCGATAAGACCAGATCAAGTGGGATTGTCCAATGGCGACCACCGCTTCTCGTACAGGCAATGGGGCACAAGAGCAGCCAAGCTGAGGTTAGGGGACTTCTGGCAACGGACCAACCGTGTTGCGGCAAACTTCCTTCTGTCTTCCCCCCAAAGAGTGATGTGACTGACTGTGGCGTGATGTACGACCATTGGCCTTAGTCACGTTCGGGACGGGAAAGGAGGCGCTGCTTGGTGAAGCTAAAGGTCTAGCCCGTCAGTGCTGGAGCCTACCAGAATCCGGGACTGGCGGGCACCACCTAGACCTAGAATTTCAGGGTCCTCCGGGCCATTCTCTTGGCCAGCAGCTAGGGCCGCCCCAGATCCCACAGCGAATGGAAGCCACTGTAAATGTGGTGCCAACAACTCTCACCTCCCTCCCTCCCTCACCTCACCGGTCCGGTCTCGTATGGGTTATGGGTGGCATCCGATATGCCGTGACTGCGATGCACTGCATCAGTGCGACGTCATGATAGCATTATCTTTGAAGGGGTTGAAGCCTGATTGTTTCGTGCTTCGTGCCTGTAACGAATTGAAAGTCGGGGTGCGTCGGCAAGATAACGCAACCATCCACTCTCACTTCGGGGTCCGGCAGTGGGATCCAGCACATTCCCCAGCACGAGAAAGCCCAGCAGACAGGCCAGGAGCCACTAGGAATCCCCAGAGCTGCCCCAGCCAAGTCCAGAACTCGGGCTGCATCCCTCGAGGAATGACTGGGAATGGCCTGAATTGGCGCGGCATGACCTCCCAAGAGCGGAGAATATACAGTGGACCGATCTGTGGCCCCATTGTTTTGCCCTCGATGGCGATCCAGCTCGTTCGAGGTTTCCCATGTGCCTCTCCGGGATTCGGAAGGCGCTCTTCGGGTACAAGAAGTCGCGAATGCCCTCTTCCGTGACCCGTTTCCGTGATCCCACCTTTTGACCCTAAACAGAACTATTGCTGTTCAAAACCTCTCGAATCAATCAAACAATATCACAAACACAACTATCTACATCCTCGAGATATCCTAGCTATCGGCTGGCCTGCACTACAGACAAAAGGTGAGCGTCTTCCCCTCCCCCTCCCCTCCATCACGCGGCTCTTTCCCGCCCTCCCGCCTTCGTGCCGATCAACCAGCCGCAACCCCTCCATCTCGACATGATCCTACGTCACACCTCAATCCAAGCTGGGCGACCGACCTCGACGGACAACAAGAACACCAAGACAGTCTGCTAACACTTCTTTCTCTCTCCTCTCAGAAGCCAAATCACTCACACACACATCAATCTCTCGCAAAACAATTCTCAACCAACCTGACCTACATCATCCGAGAGAGAGAGCAAAATACAACACACATGAGAAGAATCCCTAGCAACACGACTACCTCCACCGCCACCGCCACCGCCTCGGTCCACTGCTACTACAGGACCACCAACCCCATCCCCATCCCCATCATGACCTCGTCGCACCACCACCATCAACAACACCAGCAAGGCGACGACGTCCCCGCCGGCGCCGCGGCCTCGACGCCCCTGTCGCAGGACCTCATGTCCCCCGTGTCCCCGACGACGGAGCACTCAGCCGCCGACGCCCAGCGCGCCATGGAGCACACCCAGGCCTGGAAGCCCAAGCTCGACCGCCGCCAGAGCTGGGACGACCAGGAGCACAAGCGCGAGCTGCAGATGGGCCGCATCGCCGACGTCAAGACGGGGCCCGGCTTCACGGAGAATAAGTAACTCTTCACTCTGACTCTACTCTACTCTTGTCTCGTTCTGGCGGATCAACACTATTCACTTTGGTTGTTTTCATGGGGGGGCTTCTGGGGAAATTGGAATTCAAACAAGCGGACATGGTAACATGGGAACGCCGATTGGGGTGGCAAACATAACCAAGCATACGATGGGCGTAATGAGGCGTTTTAGGGGGACAGAAATTGAGATTGAATATGCACGTGGCTCTGGACAGGCCGGGCTCCTGGACTGAGGATGTAATACCGAGGGGGTCCTCATTCCATGTGATTGCCAAAGAGCCACGCACGACAGCACTGTACATTACTGGGATCCTATGCTCGCACACCCTTTCAAAGCATGGACTAAATCAAAAGATTGAGAAATATTTTATGTTTATTTCTTCGTTTATGGTTCTAGTTCTCTGTTGCCTCTTGAACCAGCTACCTAGGTATGAATGGGGCGGAGAGGTGACCACATGACCGAACTAGACGGACGACAAAAAAACACACACGAGCCGACCAATGTGATGCAATGTGTAGCGGGGAGGTGATATCATTTGCAGTGAGCCAGAATGCCGTTGGAAAAAGAACCTAGCGAGTGAGTGTCCGCCGTCCCAGGATGACCCGATGTAGACGAGAGGGCGGCGGTAATGTGTTGCTTCAATGCCGATGCTGATGATTTGCGCCGGGCGACGAAAGATGCAAGAGAGGGAAAAGGAAAAAAAAGACAAACTCATGGGAATACCGAAACCCTTTCCTTAACCGATCATAATAATCCATGCCAATGAAAATGCACACTCAGGAAAAAAAAAAAAAAAAAAAAAACAGAAAATATCCTTCACTCCTTGCCCTGTGCAATAACGGGTAAGTAAAAAAAGAGGTAACAAAAGTAGGGGAAATGGGTGGTGGAAGTAGAAGCGAAAACACAAATCACAGACCCCTCGGGCCCAGGCCGTCCGCGCCGCCGGACCTAAAGTACTCCCCGACGACGCCGAGCGCGTACGATATGCCCGCGACCCACGCGGCGCCCACGGCAACCCTCTTGACGACCTTGCGCGCCCTGCGCGGTCTGTGTCTCTGCTGCTGCCGCTGCCACTGCTGCTCTTCTCGCGCGCCGCTGAACACGGGCTCCTCGCGCCGGACGTCGATGTTGGACCTGAAAGCCGGCGCCTCTTCTCTCGCCGCGGCGGCGGCGGCGAGCGGCGACAGCTCCTCGTAGTTGACGTAGCCCGTCGGCGAGGCGAACCTGCGCGCGCCCATCATGTCGATGGGGTTCACTGCTGTTGCTGCTGGAGGAGGAGGGTGGGACGCTGCAGACGACAACTGGTTAGACTCGGAGGGAGCAGGGATGGTGGTGTTGGCCTCTTGCTGCGTGAGAGCTGCTTCTGCCTCGGCACTACCGGTGGTGGTGGTTTGGGGTTCGGAGGAGGAGGAGGAGGGGCTATCTGCATCTCGCACCTTTCGGAAGACCAGGACGTCGTCCTTGCCGGACACGATCTCGAAGCCCTGGGCCCGGAGCGGCGCAAAGTGCGGCAGGAACTTGGTCGGGTTCGACAGCCGCAGCAGGGCCTCGGCGGGGGTGAGGGGCGACGCCGCGTCCGGCACGACCGACGTCGTCTCGGCCGTGCTGACGGCCTGCGCCGACGGGTCATAGGCCAGGATCTTGTAGACCTGCTGCTGCTGCTGGGGGGGCTTGTTGTCGCGCTGCTTCGTCTTGCCGCTGTAGATCTTGACAAAGGTCGGCCAGGTCTGCTGGCCCTCCGTCTCCTCGGCGTACGAGGTCTCGAGCCCTTGCGGGGCGGTCGAGTAGGGGTCCGACTGGGCGAGGCGCCTCTCCTCAGCCGTCATGGATGTGAACTTGGACTTGCGTCGGGAGAATGGCTTGGTCTGTCGATCGAGGGAGGGCTCGATGCGCGACAGGCCGGCGGCTGAAGCGTAGGTTCGTGCAGTGCTTGGCTCTGACTTCTGAGCGGCGGAAGCGACGGCCGAGGTCGAGCCCGTGGATGTCAAGGCGGAAGCAGAAGGCTCGCCACGAGTCCACTTGGCCGCGAACTCCTCGGGGAAGTCGCGCGCAAAGTTGCCAGTCATCTGGTCCTTGGACGACGGCTTGGCAGCGGTCGCGATCCCAGCAGCGGCACGCACATCGCTCGCTCGGAGCGAGTCCAGGTCTTCTTCGGGCTGTGTCTCCTGCGCAGGCTTCAGGGACATCTTGCGCAGACGGCCCATGACATCCTCAAAGGACTCCTCCGTCATCTCCGCAGGGGCGGAGGCCTCGGCGACCCAAGAGTTCTCGGGGTGCTCGTCAAACTCGCGCAGCGCGTCCTCGACCGAGCTGGCCTTGGCAGCTGGCTTGCCATCGGGTTCATTGTACTTGACTGGCTCGCCGTACTTTTGCAGCTCGGGCTCCGGCGCCGTTGGCATCTCGCCCTCATTGATGGTAGGTACATCCTCGCTCAGTGGCACGGGTCTTCCCCCCTCGTTGTACGCGACGGGGCCGTACTTCTCCAGCTCCTCTGGCACTGGCTCCATGACCGGGTCGACGGGCATGTCCGCCTCCTTGGGCTTGCCGTCTGGCTCGTTGTACGCAACGGGGCCATACTTGTTCAGCTCCTCCGCTGGCGGCTCCTCGGTGACTGCGTCGAGCGGTTTCCCGTCAGGTTCATTGTACCTCACGGCAGTGTACTTGGCCAGTTCGGCTGGATCGACCTTGTCAGCTTGCTCTGTGACGAGAGGCTGCCCGTCCGGCTCGTTCCACCTGACAGCCTGGTACTTCGCCAGCTCAGCTGGGTCGTAGCTGGGCTGGTCGAACTCGGGAGCCTTGCCGTCGGGCTCGTTGTGGAGGAAAGGCTTGTACAGGTGCAGCTCAGGAGGGATCTCGCGCTCGACATAACCGGGAGGCTTACCATCGGGCTCATTGTACATGACCGGCGTGTATTTGTGGAGATCCTCATAGGGCGACGCTGCCTCTTGCTGTAGAATCGTGTCGTTCTCCGTCATAACAGGCTTGTACTTGTGCAGATCAGAGTATTGCTGGCTCGGCTCGGCTTGCGCATCCTCGTTATGCATCACCGGCTTGTACTGCTTCAACTCTTCTATCGCCTTATTGAGGGAGGACTTCGTCGGCTGGGGAACAGCATCCATAGCGGCAGTGATGTTGTGGATACCTGATTCGGCGGGAGGAGCGCCGCTGAGAACACCGGTGTATTTCCAGCGCAGATGCCCAGTCTCGCTTGCATGGGAGACAGTCGCTTCCGGCGCGAAATCAATGTTGTCAATGCGGACCTGTCCGTACTGACGCAGCTCAGCTGCAGTGGGTGGAAGATCAGCATCCTGGACAACAGTGTCCAGGGGAGCGGGGTTGGAAGAAATGTCGTCGACCTTGATCTGGCCATACTGCTTCAGCTCTTCCGGCGATGGCGGTATCTCAATGACGGGCTCAGAGCCGCTGCTGAGCTGCGCACCATCCTGAACCTCGTCAATCTTGACTTGCTTGTATTGCTTCAGCTCTCCAGCCGGTGGAGGGCCGTCGTAGAAAATCGGCTCCTGAGCGATTTGGGACTTCTGGGCATCGGTTGCCAAGAAGGGGAAGTCGGCAGGGACGTCGGAATCCTCAGTCTCCCGGACTGGCGATGCCCGACTCTGTACCCTCGGGACCCTGCGATTTGTGATCGGGTCAATCACAAAATCATCGGCCGACGCAGTTGTGGGTGCTGCCGTGCCCGTCGAAGAGAAGCGTTTTGAGCGGCGATACGCCTCTGCAGAGGTGTAGTCCTGGGAAGTGTTTTGCGCTTGTTGATGGGCAAAGAAATTGCGCAAATTCTGGAATGGTGCGGTCCAGTGGTCGAAGACAAACGCCTTGGACTGATCTGATCCCCGGTCTCCGAAGAAGAGGTGCTCCATCGCGCCCCGCTCGACATCCTCGATGTTGCTGCCAGGCCTGACACCCGTGGGATTGCTGGGGGTGCGGTATCTGCGGGCCTCCTTCAGTTGGCCGTAATGCCGAGCCCATTGCTTGAAAGCCTGCTTGACCTCCTTTGCCTGCGTCGGCTGTTCCCACGACAGTTTCCGATGTAGATTCTCTGCATATTTCTGCCGGATGGCGCGGTGGTGACGGCGCATCTCCCGGTGGAGGTCGTAGTCTTGTCGGGGAGTGGAGCAGAAGCCGAAGCGGAACCCCCGGACCTGCTGGCGATGGCGGATCAGGGCCGCGCTGGTCGGGCCCAGGATGCGCAGGCTCGCAGTGCGCAGATGGAGCATCCTCGCCTGAGGCGCTCCGTTGGAAACCGTTGTTAACATGATGGCGAAGAGGAAGAAGGACAGGCGGATAGGCCCATACTAAGGCGCAGGGCTACCGTGACTGCTGAGGGGTCAGCACTGGCGATCTGCTAAGACGAGAGTCGTGTAAATGCGGCGGCAGTCGACTTCCGCAATACATTTGGCTCGCTTCCACCAAGCGATCAATTGATTGAAGCTGGTAGAGAAAAGCCGGGGAAAAAAGGGAAGACGAAGTAAGCAATTGGGAGAGAGGGAATTTATTCACTGACCGTGACGAGAAGGGCCGGGAGGGACGAGGGCATGAGAGTGAGATGATCACTGCCTGTCCTGATTCAGTACCCGCAGGTGTTGATCACCTAGTCATGTGAAGCCTATGACGAGACTCCAGGCACAAGAGCAAGCACGAATGCCCAGTCAGCCAGCAGGCAAGGATGGGTAGATCAAGTGTAGATAAAGTTGGGGAAGGGGGGGGAAGTCCTGATCAATCACGCGAGGAGTGCAACTCGAACAACATGGAACATGGGAAGAGGGAGAGAGTTGGCCAGCAAGGCAACGACACGAGAGGAGAACAGTAATAGCTGCCTACTTACCTTACCAACCTTAGTCGACGGATAGATGCGACTCGTGTGCCTTGCTCGTCCACAGCGATCTGTGCCGGTTAGGCGGCGGCGTGCGGGTCCCCAGAATTGACTCCCGATCCAAGGATGAGACCAAGGCACTACCTACTCCGTATGCAGTATGCGCGCATTGCCAAAACGAGGGCATCCGGCTTGCGACTGCTCCTCCTCCACCTCTCTCCCCCCCTTCCCCCAGAAGTCTCTCCACCATGGGCCACCACCATGCCACGAAACAGCCTACGGAGGGCCTGTTGGGTGCGGGTGGACCCCCGTGTCGGCCCATACAGGAGCCAGTGACGTTGCTCTGTTCCCATGCGGGGTAAGTCGACCAAGGTCGACCAGATAAAGGACCCCTCTGTCGTGCGCTGTCGTACCCGTGAAACCCGCGCAGGCCTCCCCCGTAAATATCCGAGGCAGGCCACTGGCCAGTTGGGCGCCATGACCGCTACAATCTTCGCTGAAACCTGCGCGCGCAGTGATTGGCCGCGCTGTGCTGCCTCGGCGGTATGCCCTAAACCGTCTGCAGTTTAGCCTGCCACTGGGCCGATTACTTTGGCCTGCCTTGAAAGGCGCCCTGTGGTTTTAGCCAAACCTTGGCTGGTTCTGCCAATCTCTGGAAATGCGCGAGGGCCACTGAAGAACTCTCGAGCAAACAGGATTGACCAATAAGTTTGGGCTGTGGCTGTCAGCCTCACTGGGCCTCACGTGTGCGAGGCTGAAGCCCGAGAACACCCCGCCATGACGAATTGCTAGCAAAAGATTACTAGGTAGCTACAGACCTGGCTGATTTTACCCCACGACTCCAAATTTGTAGCTGGTGAGGATTACTTCGGCCTGACTCAACCTGCGACGGAGCTCCAAGCTTTCCACCTCTCGCCGGTCATCTTCTGTGCTCCATTGCGTTAGGCAGCTCACAATGCGCCCGGGAACCTTCCTTTGTGCTTTTGAATTTCAGATCCTTCGTTGATGGCCCATCCTCTTCTGCCTTTCCGTGGTTCATTGTACTTTGTACACCCTTCTGGTTGCCTGGTTGTTTAATTGAGAGCTTTTGCGCGCCTTGGCAGGGATCGAAGTGCCCCAATTCACAGCCTGCGACCTTCTTCAGTCCTAAATTCTTCTTCGACTTGAAACATCAAGAATCTTTCCGGCTGAACACCTGCCCATCCACGACATCAGGAACAGACGCATAACACCATGAGTAAAAGCAAAGGCAAGGGCCGTCTCGCCAGCAGTGGCAGCGCCGCTTTTGCCAGTGCCGGGCGCAGTGGCTTTGGCGGCGCATTCTCGACTTCCTCCACCACGAACCTGTCCTACCTCTCCGAAATCCCAGACTTCTCGAGCATATCAGACGCCAATGTCGTCGTTTCTTTCAAGAACGTCCTCAAGAAGGACAGCACTACAAAGGCAAAGGCGCTGGAAGACCTCTTGCAATATGCCTTAGAACACCCTTACGAGCAGGGCGGCGGCGTGGAGGAAGCTGTCCTCGATGCATGGGTCAGTCTACCTCCAGGATAATGCGATGCCCAAGGGCGGCTAGTAATAATGTATGTAACAGGTTCAATTGTATCCTCGTACCTCAATAGACAACTCGCGCCGCGTCCGCGAGCTCAGCCACTCACTGCAGCTCGATCTGATGAAGTCGGCACGAAAGCGTATGGAGAAACGCCTGACGAAGATCATCGGAGCCTGGTTGGCCGGCACCTTCGACAAGGACCGCATCGTCGCCCGCGCAGCTTCCGATGGGCTCTCGTCCTTCCTCACCACCGAAGAGAAGACCCGACAGTTGTGGAGGAGGTGTCAGCCTCAGATCTTGGAATACGCGACCGACGCCGCCAAAGAAACCCCCGATACCCTGAGCGACGAGCGATCCACCTCGAAGGACGACGCAGATGCAAAATACTACAGGGTGCTCAGTGGAGCGTTGTCGGTGGTGCTGGGACTGTTGCAGAAGCTTGACAGCGAAGATGTCGCCAAGAGCCAGGATGACTATGACAACTTCTTCTCTGTGGAAGCAGTGTGGGCGAGCATCACCGCGCCGGATCCCCATGCGAGGAGGACGGTCTTGCAAATGATTCTACTTCTCCTCGAGAAGCATGAGAGCTTCCTCGCCGCCCACCTGCCTCGGACCGGCAAGTATCTCATTGCGGAGGGGCTGAAGAGCAGTCAGATTGGCTCCGCCATGGATTTCGTCAAGGTCCTTACCATCATGACCGAGCGGCATCCTGAGATCTGGGGCGAGAAGAAGCAGCCATTCATGCGACTCCGCCCACTCCTCGAAAAGGGTTCACAAGGTAGCCCGGCGACCGCGGCAGGCAATTACTGGAGATCGCTGGACCAGCTGCTTGCTGTCATACCGCAAAAGACAGTAACTGCAGAAGCAGCTGCAGAAGTCATCAAAGCGCTGCGGAGTGGGATCTGCGGACGAGAAGAACCGAGAGCGAATGCCGTGGATGCATGGACCGTGTACCTGACGACGATCCGACGACTTGCTGACATCGTGGAAGGCGACGGGGCACAAGTCAAGCTCTTCCGGGACCAGGTCTACCCCCTAATCGACCACTACATGCATCCGAGCCCTGACAGGTCTGCGTGGACTGGCGGGACACACCTTGCAGTCCTGTCGCGTGCCTTTCTTCTCGTCTCCCGATCGCCGCATCCGGATGCAGCCTCATCATTTGAAGCCGAGTGGGCACGGCTAGCCCAGCACCTCGTCGCAAAGATGTCCAACTCCCTTCCGGAAGTCTCAAAGGACTATCAGAAGTCCCAGTCGGAGCTTGCAGAGGAGGGTGGTCGATGGTTCGCTCTAGTGGAAGCCATCCATCAGGACTTGAGCAAGATCCCTAGCTCGGCAGGTAAGGGACCAGGTTCGAGTGACCTTGTCGATGTTCCCTCCATCAAGATTCTCGAAGCGGCGTTGGACCTTCTCGAAAAGCGGAACTACAAACCGTTCGGAGCTGCAGCGATTCTGAGCGCGGCATTCACGCGCACACCTTCACTGATGGAGGAGAAAGGCAAGGCTGTGGCAGTCAACATCTTCCCACTGGACGACCCCGACCAAGTCAGCCGCTTGCTTGCTTCACCATCAGTGTCATACCTTTTGACGGCGCTGGATGCACTCGGCCGTACGAAGACGCTTACGGATCAGTACACCTCCGCGTGGAAAACTGCTGTTCGCTCTCTCGTCAATCAAAGCGCAGACACAGATATTTCAAACCACATCACACAGTTGCTTGCCAACCAGACGGCCACGCCTTTGGCTCGCGACTGCCAGCCGCTTCAAGCCTATCTTCAAAGTCAGCTATTACAATGCGCTTCAGGAAAGGTCGATTCATGGTCGCTCTTTGAAACCTCGTTTACCTTTGACAGCCTATTGCCAGCAACGAGTGAAGCCTTGGTAGGAAGCATCGTGGCCGCCTTCGGGAAAGCTGGATCAAGTACGGAATCATTAGCGAGATCTCTGCAGATCATCGCAGCGAAGAAACCCGAGCTTCTTTCTGGAGATGCGGTGCATCTTGACCTAGTCGCGAAGCTTCTGGCGGCTATGGAAGTTGCGGATAGCTCTGCAAAAGTCAGTCTTGCCACGTTGAGGACATTGGTAGAGAAATCACCCACGGCAGAGGGAGAAATGCCGATGGTCAAGATCATACAGGACAACCTCGATGACGTCGGCCCGGGGTCCCTGGAGATTGAAACCTTGGTTGAGCAGGCCCTCAGTGTCAGCAAGCAAGATTCAGTGGAGCCTGACAGCCTCCTTCCCAACACCAATGTCTGGATGGACGAGCTTCTCGGGGTTCTCGATGAGCTCGACCTTTCTCTCTCTCTTACCAGTAACCTCGGTGATGCTTACTTCCTGGCGCAAGGAACGAGAGCCCGGCCAGCACAGATCAAACGTGACCGCAATGGTTACTCAATACCGATTAGAATGGCCATGTATGCCACACGTATGCTTACGTCCGGGTTTCAGCTATCGTCTTTGCCTCAGAGCCTGCAGGTTGAGCTGATCTACTTGTTGTATCTGGTGGCTGAAATCGGATCGGATCAAGTAGCGATAGCTACCAATAACAAACTCTGGAGCTCCCTGGCGCAGCCTGACAGTCTGGCCGATGCGGAAGACCTGATCTCGGAGACTCGCAAAGTGCTAAATGCGGTGATTGGCGCTGCGTTAAAGGCACCCGAGGGCGAAGCTCTGGTCGATGGAGTTGTGAACATCATGATTTCGCAGTGCACGCAGCTTGCTCCGATTGCTGTCTACAGCGCCAGAGCATTGAGTCTCGTCTTCCAATCTCTGATTGAGGACCGTGGGTTTACGTCGAAGGAGGAGGCACGCATTACGAATCTTGACATAATGAAAGCGACTCCTTCGACTGTCATGGCAGCAGCAGCGGTGTTTTCTGGCTATGGCGAGATGCTCGCATCATCCAAAATGATCAGCACCCTCTGCAATAGGCTCGTTAGCGACGTGGCCGGAGCAGACGCTTCTTCTCCAAAGACCCTGCTGGTGCTTGTCCTGCTCAATGCCTGCATGTCGGTGTACGAGGTCGGCGAGTTGCCTGTGGCGAACAATCGTCTAGTCTTTGCAGTGCGGCAGATCACGGGATGGTTTGACGAGCCGGAGAAATTAAGCGCCAAGCTGGCTGTGGAGAGCTGCCGATCACTACAGCGACTACTGCCGTGCATCAAAGATGTCTACGGTCCTTACTGGGAGAAGACGGTAGAATTTTGTCTCTCCCTCTGGACCAAGGCTGCCCAGGACCAGCAGAGCACTCGCCTGCCATATATCCACGCTTCTCTCAAGCTACTGTCTACCCTGGACTCCATCCACGAACCAAATGACGACCTCGAGGAAGCGTTGCAGAGCCTCGCAGAGCTGAGGTCTGCCGGTATGATCAATCTTCTTGGTCTCGTCAGCGACCGGGCTACGCAGCCCCAAGAGATTGTCGACACGATACTTTGCCGCCAAGTGGAGAAGATCCCTCTAGAACACATCAAGGACTTGTCGAACCTGTACAGCCTCGTGGCGGCGGACTCGAGGGATATCCAGACCGCCGCCTACCACCTTCTCAGCCGCGCCCTGCCAGCCGCCCAGGAGCAGCTGTCTCTTGATGTTCTCTTGGACAAAAAAGGTGAGTACCAGGCAACCCCGCCGATTTATACATCCTGACTAAACACCTCGCAGATGCCCAACTTCCGGACGAGCTCCTCTCCCTCCTGCTCGATGCGCCGACGATCGACGCCTACCCAGACGAGGTGCTCGCCAGCTTCCCTGCGGCCATCCGCTCCTACCTCCTTACCTGGCACCTCATCTTCGCCGCCTACCGCACGGCGTCCCTCAAGGTGCGCAACGACTACACGGAGAACCTTAAGAGCGCCAACTACGTGTCGCCGCTGCTAGATTTTACTTTCGACGTGCTCGGCCACTCGGCCGCACACCCACTCAACCTCGACAAGCACGGCTTCGGGCCCGAGAGCATCACGGCCTACGACATCAAGCTCGCCGACACCGAGACCGAGGAGCGCAACATGCAGTGGCTGCTGGTCAATGTGTACTACCTCGTGCTCAAATACGTGCCCGGACTCTTCAAGGCGTGGTACCTCGACTGCCGGTCCAAGCAGACGCGGATCGCGGTCGAGAGCTGGACGGCCAGGTACTTCTCGCCCATCATCATCGGCGAGAACCTGGACGAGGTGGCGCAGTGGGCCGCGGCCCAGGAGGCCCCCGCGGACGACGACGAGCGCGAGCTGCTGGTCAAGGTGAGCAGGCTGGCGCGCGAGGTGGTGGCCGGGTACGAGGTGGACGAGCTGCAGGCGTCGATCGCGATCCGGGTGCCGCAGAACTACCCGATCGAGGGCGTGACGGTGGTGGGCAACAACCGCGTGGCGGTCAACGAGAAGAAGTGGCAGAGCTGGCTGATGAGCACGCAGGGCGTGATTACCTTTTCCGTGAGTCCTTGACCTTTCGCCTGTTAAACCCGCCCCCCCCCCCCCCCCCCC